GCGCGGCCGGGGCTGTGTCGTAAGCAAACCAACCCCTCTAGAGCTGGCGCGTTCGGGAAAGCGTAACGGCGAGGCGTGGCGGGGAGAGGAAGGGAGAGAGGGAGCAGCGCCTCGTGAAACCCGTGCTCGACACTGCAATCCGTTTTGCATTAGTCCCCACTCCGTCGACCTCGTCAGCGTGCTCCGCCTGCAGCCTCAGCTGCGACTCTTGTCTTATTTCTGTCTCGCTGTTGGGGGCCTCCACTCCACTGCGACGGCCGCCTGGGAGACTGTTGCGGCCTAGCCGCGAACGAACGCCGCGGTCCAGTCGAGAGCGGCTGTGTTAACGAGGACGCTCTCAAAAACGCACGCTTCTCCTCGTTCCTCCCTGTGCCGTGTCAACAAGAACGCGATAAAAAAGACAGAACAGCTGAGCAGGTTGGCAGGGAGGGTGGGGGAGGATGTGTCGGTGTGCCTGCGGGGAGCACCGACTCGCGGCAAAGGTTAACACTCTCCTCGCGCCGTCTCGCCGCACACCTGGTGGCCAATGAAGCGGGGCTCTCCGGGGCGTGGGAATGTTTTCGGGGCCCGGCGGGGAGCCCCCCACGGCCCCACGGGGAGCCCCCCTCGGCCGAGCACGCGGGGAGCCGTACCGATGTACCCACACACCCCAAATATTCCATGCGCAGGATCACGTACAGCGCCAGGGCCGGCCGGAGTGTGTTTTTCAGAGCGTGTGTGTGGATGTGTGAACGTGTGGGTTTGCCCGGCCGTATCCCTACAAGCCCGACCAGACCACCAGACGGGACAGGACATTCGTGGGCAGGCCGAGTTTGGGTTTGGCTCGGTTTGCCTGGACCGCCCCGGGCAGGGCGCAGCAGGCTCCCCCACCCCGGGTCCCACCACCACTGTATTTCAAAACAGCGCCTCGCTACGTCTCGCATCGCCACTGTACGAAGCTGCCCCTATCACCCCCCTGGGAGCGCGTAGCCCTGGCGTAGCCCGGGCCGGCGCAGTGCGGTGCAGCACAGCCAACGCACACCCACACTCGCACCTACACACACACACGGAGGCACGCTACAACTCACGGCACTGCTGCAAAGCTCTCCCCTGCCTCGCATTCTTATATATGTGCTCGCTGTGTCCGTGGAGGAACACATTGTAATTCCGGTCTTTTGTCTCGCCCGGCTCCGTGTTTTTGTTCCCCGAGGGAATATCTAGTGCCGTATGTTTAGCGTGGGCCCCGTGCAGTTTGCACCGGGGCGCGGGGCGGGGCGGGGCGGGTGCTCCGTTGGGCGACCAGGGCGCAGCGTAGCGCGGCGTCCCCCAGGGCCCAAGAGGGGTGGACCCCAGGCGTAAATTTGCCCCCACCCCACCCTGGGCCCCGAGCTCCACGACGACGAAGACGACGACGAACTGCAGCCACAGCGAGGTGCTGCATCTGGCACGGCCACCCCTGGGCCGACCCCGCCGGGCTTCGGTGTTCGCTTTCGGCTTGCCGCCGGGCCGCCCTCGACGGGGGCGACCAAGGCACTGCCAAGGCATACCAAGGCAGGCAGGGCCGCCCTGCTGTAACTTTAACTTGATGGCGGCCAGGATGCGGGTCAAGCAACCCGGTCCGCGGGGACGGCGCGGGCGGCGGGGGCGGCGAGGCTCGGGTCACTGAGCCGCCACGCCGCTACCCACTCAGATACTTGTGATTTGATCAGCTGCCCTATTCGCCTGCTTCGCCTCCCGGCCAGCAGAGCAGCCCTTTGCTAGTCATGGCCTCCTCTGGCTCGGTTCATCCCATCGCGGCCCCCGCGCCCCTTCGCCGCGGGCCATCGGGGGAGGGGGATGGAGGGTGATGATTTAATAGCCGAGACAAGGGCGAGGGAGTCGAGGGGGCTGTGATGATAAAGGCCCAGCCAAACTGACTCGCATCTTTTTTTTTAGAGCGGCGGCCGACGGCGCCGTGTCGGCCAAGTGGAGTCCCGGCCTGGTCCTGGCTGGTGTCCTGGATGTCGGTTAGCGGGACGCTGGGGCGCGCCGTCCACTCGAAAGTTAACGATGACGGCGACGAGGGCGGGTCAGGAAGTTGTCCATGCATGGCGGCGGTGGCGGCAAAGGGAGTCCTTGCGGCGTGGCGGCGTGGCGGCGTGGCGGCGACCGGGGCGCCAAACCCGCTGGCGCATTTGCAGGCAACTCCCCGCCGTGCAAGGCCATCCGAGGCCACCGCCGACCGGGACACTCTCTTTACGACGGCGGTGGCACCCTGTTGAGTATTCAACACGTCGCCGCGCGCGCAGCGTAGCAGCGTAGCAGCGTCTCCCCGCCAAGCTGCGATCGGCTTCCAGGCGAGTCATCCCCAGGAATACCGGAGCGAAAATCCCGAATCCCACTCCGTCGCTCGCAGGGCCGGAGAAACTCTCTGTTTTCCCTCTCATGTCCGCACCGGCTAGATTTTCAGGCATGAAGAGTGGACCTGGCCGGTGGATTACCCGCTGACGCGCTGACGGCGGCGTGCTTGTCTGCTGCAGATGGCCGTCGCGAGGCGCCGCTCCCTGGCCAGGGACAGGGACGCCAGGCCCGCCAGGCCCCGCATGGCTGAGGCCGGCCCGGCGGCGGGCTGGTCCGGCCTGCGGTCCGCCCCCGCCCCCGCCGCCATGCCGGGGCCCTTGCCGGGACCCTCCAAGGGGCCCGCGGACGCGAAGCAGGCGCCGCCCAGCGACACCGCGGCGCCCGCACCCTCCAGCGATCTTCACTTCGATCAGCCTGGTGAGTACTCGCCCTGCTCCCCGAACGAAGGCAAGCGATTCACCTGAGTGCGAGAGAGACCGCGACAGAGACGGTGTCTGGATTCAGCCCGTCCAGGCTCAGGCTCTGGGCTCCAGGCTAGCGGACTGCGGTCGGCGCGAGGCGAGGTCGGCGGTACGCCTTTTTTTGCTGGCCGTCTGCACCAATGCCCAGCGACAGCAGCGACAGCAGCGACAGCAGCGACAGCCACTGCACTTCATCGACCGCAAGACCGGCAAGACGCAGAAAGAGACGGCCCGCACAAGGCGCAAGGCGCATGGAGAGAAGGATTTGATGGTCGCGTCAGGGGGCAGTGGGCAGCGCGCACCGCGCGTCACTCCACCCTCTCCACCCGAAGCGGCTCGGGCCTTGGGGCCGTGGGGCCGGCACACTGTGATCGGCTGGCTAAGTGGGACGGCTATAACGCGACCTACGCGTGCTACCCCCAGCCCCGTCCCTCCCCTCCCCCTTAACAGGCAGCAGGCTTATCGTCTAATACGTGCCCAATCACTACACCGCACACCCTGCCCAACCGGACACAAAGAAACACACGCATTTATTTTTCGCAGTTTTTCGCAAGAGTACCCACCCGTTGAGGGAGAACGATTAGCCGCCTTAGATTAGTTGCAGTGGCTGCCTAAAGTCAGGCTAAACCACGATTTCTACACATTTGTTACCGTTTCCACAAACTTTGCTGCAATACCACTCCCAAACTAAGGCGGCTATTCTCACTCCGTAACAAAGGTGTTCTAAACAAAAGCCCAAAGAGTACCCACCCGTTGAGGGAGAACGATTAGCCGCCTTAGATTAGGCGCAGCGGCTGCCTAAAGTCAGGCCAAACCACGATTTCTACACATTTGTTACCGTTTTGACAAACTTTGCTGCAATACCGCTCCCCAACTAAGGTGGCTAACCGCACTCCGTAACAAAGGTGTTCTTAAAGAAGGCCCAAAGAGTACCCACCCGTTGAGGTAGAACGATTAGCCTCCTTAGATTGGGCGCAGTGGCTGCCTAAAGTCTCGCCAAACCTCGATTTGTACACATTTGTTACGGTTTCGAGAAACTTTGCTGCAATACGCCTCTCAAACTGAGGCGGCTAATCGCACTCCGTAACAAAGGTGTTCTTAAGAAAGGCCCAAAGAGTACCCACCCGTTGATTGAGAACGATTAGCCGCCTTAGATTAGACGCAGTGGCTGCCGAAAGTCAGCCCAAACGACGATTTTTACACATTTGTTACCTTTTCGACAACCTTTTTTTAAAAAATAAAACAACTTTAATAATAAATAAGTTACAGTGGGGAAAAAAACCATTTAGTTTGTGAAAACTCTCAGCCACCGCGGCTCATGGAGACCAAATGGTAAGGCGGTGTGTATGAAGCCAGGCTTGATCGCTTCGCCCTGTTAGCGTGCAGAAAAGAGCAAAGAAACGGTGGGACTCGAGCACCCAACCTCGTTCTTACGTGCCAGTGCCTCTACGCTCACGCCTGCCATCGACTATGAAGTGCGGATGGTCAAGCAGGGTACTTGAAGAACCAAACGGTGTAGACCCGGGCACAAACGATCCGGCGTCGCACGGAGAGTATGATGGCGCTGTTGTCAGAATCTGCCGTTGTCTGCATTCCACGTCTCGTCAAGGCTCTCCCCGCCCCCTACCCCCGGCCCACGACAAGGCACATCTCGCAAGCCTCGTGGCCAAGTAAGCGAGAGGCGAGTCCTGGGGCGAGCAGCAGTGCGGTGCGCAGAGCAGCCAATTTAAACCCCCTTTGTTTTGCTTTACCTTTCGACCCCAAACACTGGAGGAGCATCTGTGCCCCTCGCAAGGTCGCCGCGTCGCCGTACAGTGTAGCCCGCTCTCAAAGCACACACCAAAATACTTTGCAAATTTGGGGGTGCGCCGCACTGCCACACTTCCTCTTCGCTAGTGTAGGCCCTGCCGCCCTGCTGGGCCAGGCGACACGACACCGCCTCGCTAGCCTCGCTCCTCGCTTTCATTGGTGGACTCAAACTTTGGCACAACTTGCAAACTTGACGCTTTTGGCGGGGCGCTTGTGTGCCGAGCCCGGTCGAGCTCGGCCGAGCCCGTCGCCGGCCGGGGCACGCGGCCGGGGGGTCTGCGGAGAGGGCTGGACACGACGTGCGGGGTGTTGCGGGGACGGCAACTCGAGCCTGATGCCATTGTTGTTGTTGCTGCTGCAGCCGTGCAGGCGCTGCTGCTGGGCGGCGCTGCGCTGGGCGCCGTGCTCGTGGCCGTGCTGGTGGTGCTGTGCTACCGCTGGCGCCGCGAGGACAAGAAGGGCCGCCACGGCGAGTACGACAGCCTGGGCCCCAGCATCGTCGTCTACCCGTCCTACCACGGCAAGGGGCCGCAGTTCCTGTGAGTGCACAGCGTACACAGCGCTCCGAGCTCTGCCGTTTTCTCATTGCGTCGCCCTTGACTCCGTGCACTCCGTGACCTTGGACTGCCCGCAGGTCGAGCGACATCAGCTTCAAGCTGCCGCCCATCGCCAAGCTGCGCCACACGTCCTCGCTGGACGCCATGGACCTGCTGGACTCGGACGACGGCGGCAGCGCCACGTCGGCGTCCACGTGCACCGTGACGTCGGCCAACGCGGCCCTGGGCAGCGCGGGCAGCGCCAGCACACTGTCGCCCAGCCACTCCAGCCACTCGCAGCGCTCCAACTCGTTCAGTGAGTGTCGCTGGCATTGTCGCGCCTCGTCCCCTCGTCCCCCACCCCCTCAACCCGAGAGTCGTTTTCGTCGCTCTGCCTCTCGCACTCGGGGCGATCCCTACAGGTGCGAGAGAGACAGAGCGACGAAAACGACTCGCGGAACCTGCTGCGCGCGCTGACGTCGTAACGCCGGTGCTGCAGGCCAGGGGGTTGTTGCCGCTGGTTCGTTACCTTTTAACCGTGTGGCGCAACTTTATCACTGCGGGCCGAACTTGTCGCCGGTGCCACGCTTTAAATTAGACGAGCGGACAGGACCGGGCAGCGACATAGTGAGTCAAACGGCCTGTTCCGACGGACGGCTCTGAATACACGGTCTCACTCCATCCCTCCGCCTCACGCCTCACCAAGCGCCTGCAGAGCGGTGCGTAGGCAACCCGCCGGACTCGCGTGCCGTGTATTGCCTACTGTGAGCTTCGCAGGGGCTCGAACCAGGACCAGTAGGCTGCATTTAAAGTCCCACTTAAAGATTGTGTTGTGCAGTTCGAGGCGCGCTGTGAGTGGACCCGCCACCCGCCTAAACTGGACCACTGGACCTCCGGCCCGACCCGGTGGCGTTTGGCCCGTGGTCACAATTTGGCGGCCGCCGCCGTGTCGACGCCACCCGCCCTCCCCGCCTCGCAGCCTCGCCTCGCCTCGCCGCGGACCGAGCGGGACCGAGCCGTTGCCATGGCGACGAAAATAATTATTCCGATGTGAAATGCCGCGCAGAGCCTTTGATGAGTGGGGAGCGCGTAGCGCGTACCAGACCACATTCACCTCGCGCACTGCTCGCTCGTCCTCATCTGGTCCCGTGCTTGCTCAACGGGAGGGGGAGGGGGCTGTCGGTAAAGGGCAGCGAGGTTGATTGGGGTCCTTTGGGACCGGCCAGCCGGCGGGCCGGCCGAGTAGCAGCAAGTAGCAGACGAACAACTCCCCCCCCCCTCCCGCCGGACGTGGCCGATGCGTTGCTCCCTGCAGTGCGAAGCGCCAAAGCGGCAAGCGGAGTGGATGTCGGACCGGAAAAAGCGCGCGGTGGCGCCCAATCTTCTCATGCAAATTAGTCGCTCTGGGCCCTGTGCCCTCTGGCCGCCTCTGGCCCCTGCCGCAGTGCCCGCAGTGCCCGCGCGGCCCGGACGGGGCAGTTAGCCCTCGCGCAGCCCCCGCCGCCCCCGCCCCGGCCAATGACTAGCCTCCCCAGCCCCCCGTTCTTGCCACTGCGTGTTTTCCCCCGCACGCCGTCACGCCCCGAGCGTGCCCTGGCTGCGCGATCGGACGTCACGCGGCAAAAAAGAAGACACATCGGCCCTGATTATCCCCAGGCCGCCCCCGCCTGGCCGATGCCGCCGAGGCCGTCGAGGCCACCGATCAGACATCAGAGCCGCCACCGATCGGCGACGGCCTTCTTGGCCTCGGCCAGGTCGTTACAGACACTGTCACCGCTTCTTTGGCGCAGGCGGCTGCGCGCTCGGCTCCCTGGACCCCAGCCTGTACCGCGGCGGCGCCGCCGACCTGGAGGAGGAGATGCTGTTCCCGGAGGACCACCTAGGCCGGCTGTGGTTCGGCGCGCACTACGAGCCCACGGCCGAGAAGCTGACGGTGACGATCATCAAGGCCAAAAACCTCCAGTCCAGGACCGTGGCCACGGCCAACAACTGCGACCCCGTCGTGCGGTAAGTGGCCTCGCTTGGCCTCGCTTGGCCTCGCTGGCCTTGCTCAGCGATTTTGTTTTTCTTCGTGATGTTGTTTCATGAGTGAAGCACTCCGGCGGGGACGCTGGGGCGCGCAGCGCGCAGCGCGCGGCAGAAGTTGTCCGCGGGCCACCAGGCGGGCCGTCCAACTCGGGGAGGCAGACAGCAGACTGATTTCGAGAGCCGTTTTTCTGTCTCTCTCGCACTTACGGGGCGTCCCCGTGTAGGTACGAGAGAGACAGCAACTGGCTCTCGGAATCAGTCTGCTGGCGGCTGTGCTGCCGCTGGCCCCCAGACGGCAGACCTCCCCCGGGCCGCTCGACCCGCTGTCCGCCCGCCCAGCCACCGCCACACCGCCACGCGAATAGGCGAACTGCGCGATAACAGGTGCTCGGATTCCCCATTCCCCGCTCCGCACTCCAGTTCGTCGACATTGATACATTCATCGCCCTTGTGGCGGTGGGGGAGGAAAGCAACAGGGCCATCGCCGCCGACGCCGACGTTGCCGCCGGAGAGAGTCGTCGTCTTCTCTTTGCGAATTAGCCACACTTCAAGGACGGGGCAGCCGGTTGCCTTGCTGGCTCGGTGGCTGGCGCACAACTGCTCATACGCCCCCCCCCCCTCGCGCACCGTTCCACCCACTTTGCCAGGTACAAGACGGTGCCCCGGGCACTGCGCCACGTTGGCGGCGACGGCGGCGGCGGTGTACTGGAACACAGTTTCTGCTCAGCGTGCGGCTCGCGTCTCGTGCCTCTTTTAGCGCTGCCGCCGTATAGTGCCCCTTGTTCACGGGGCCCTGCCCTGCGCGGCCCGCGCGGCCCCGCGCGACGGGACATGCGCCCTTTCACCCCGCAGTGGCCTCGGCGCGCCTCGGCGCCGCCTCCACCGTCTCGGCACACGGCGAGCGGCGAGCGGCGCCCGCTCCTTTTGTGTGCGGGGCGAGTGCCGGCGGCGGAATAAGACTGTTTTGTGGTTTTGTGCGGCGGCTGAGGCTCCGCATTGGCTCCGCAAAGCCTCTGCCTCGGCGACGACGAACCTCCAGCTCCCCCTCCCTTTCCCCTTTCCCCAGTCGTAATAATTATTGGCTTGGCCGCCGCGGAGCCTCTTTCATCGCGTGGGGCTCCTCGCCTGTGATTGGAAAGTGGACCGGGTGTTTGCATCGCAGTGTCTGATGTCGATTCGGTTCGGTTCGGCCTTCTCGCTTCGTGTCTCAGCAGAGCGAATTATTAAAATGCGACTCCCCGGCGCGGCGTGTCGGCGAGTCTGGGTGGTGGCGCCGCGGTCTGGCGCTGCCTCCCGGTATAATGCTGGCTCTCCCTCCCTCCCCGATCCCCAACCCCCAACCCCTTCGACGTGGGAGACTCATTGGTATTTTTAGAGCTCGGCACAAAAGAGTGCTGCGCGCGCAAGGACGGCCGTACAAAGAGCGGTGAGACTCGCACGGCTGGAACCTGATACGCGCCAATCCCGCTGCTGTGTGTGTATCGCCAGCGCCCCCTGCCGCCCCACCCCGTTCCCCCTCCCCGTCCACCCTCGACGCGACGGCCGGCTCACCTTGGGCATCTCCGGCGACGTATAGCGGTGGCGGAACTGTCACGCCCACCACCACAACACCACCCCGTCGTCGAGAGAGAGAAGTGCCACATTCAGACCGCCCTCCCTACCCCTCCCCCTGGTGTTGCGGTTGATCTCGGCCGCGCTGCGGTCCGGCCCGCTCCGCAGACTGATTCCGCACGTCCCTGTCATCGCTCGGCCTCTCTCGCACTCGCCAGGCGGCCCGCTTGGGTGCGAGAGAGACGGCCGCCCTGCCGCGTCTCGGCCGACCCGCTCGTAGCGCTGTAGTCCGGCCCGTCCGGCTAGTCCGCTGGGCGATTGGCGGCGGCGCCCCGATAATTGAACGCCGTGTCCGAGCGAAGGCTGGACAAAGGTCAGGCCGGCCTGGAGCCTGGAGCCTCGGGGCGAGCTGATTCGCGATTCGCGTGGCTACTCGTGTCGCGGGCAAACTCCCGCCGCGGCCCCGGCCCCTCTGTTTGCTGTTGCCGTTTGTTGATTCGGTGCTGCCCCGCCCCTGATCGGACCCGCGAACCCCGACGCCCCGACGCGACGCCGATCGAAGACTGCCGAAGACGCTCCGGCGACCTTGCGGCATGTTTCTCCCCCGGCGCCGTTAATAAAATCCCTCCGAGTTTCTCATTATGCTCTCCTGTCCCTTCGCTCTCCAGTTTTCCTCCTCTTTGAAACGGGAACCGGTCGAGGCGCCCACCCGTGGACAATAAGCTTTGATAAGAAATTAGCGGGCCCGGCAACGCCGGCAACGGGCCGGCGGTGCCATGATGGATCGAGAGCTCGGAAGCAAAAGGGGGAGCGGAGGGGATGACGCGGCAGCGTCTAAGTAAGTGAGGCGAGCGGAGAGCAGGAGTCAGAAAGACGAGAGTGCGGCACTCTGACAAACACGAAAATAGGAAAATGGGGAAATGAGATTTAAAGCGATGGCGCTCCTGTGCTGCAGGCGGGGGGAGGGAGGGAGAGAGAGATTCTACAGGTTTACTTTGCCTCGGTGAACGAGCTGGACGAGCAGGAGGACGCTCCGACTACGGCGCAGTTTGATTCGCGTTCGGCAGACATGACGTCACTCGCGGGTGGTCCCCGGCCCGGGCCCGTCCCCGTCCTCGGCAAGGCAAACATCCGCCGGCCGCTATGCCGCTATGATGTTGTTTATTGTGGCCGGGCGGCCCCAGCAGCCCCAGCCTGAGGTGCGGCCTTTGCACGGTCCAGCGGATGGCGCAGGCGGCCACGCGTGCCAATCATCGCGAGCAGGGCGGCACACGCCGGAGACGAAAACAAACAAACGAGAGATTCGCACCGTGCCGCGTCGCAGCGCAGCCAGCCATCGTGGCCGTGCACCAACATGTCCTACCGACTTGGAACACGTGAGGCTCTGCGGGGCAACGAGGCACTATAAGGCCTTAGATTGGACCTTGTGGCGGAGTTTGGGGAGTTTGGGGGAGGGGGGAAGCCGGAAGGAAGGGGCCGGCCCGTATAGCTCGCTGCCCTCACGTCCCCCCCGTCCCTGATGGAGCTGGACGGCCCGTGATTGAAACCCCCCTGCCCAGCAGCCCGGCAGCCCGGCCCGCCTGGCCGGCCGGACCCTCCCGATTGCGTTATGCCGCGCTGTTATACCACCGGGTCTAGTGGCTAGGCCAGGCCGTAGGCCGCAGCGCAGGCCGGGGGCGTGGCGTGGTGGGCTCGGTGATATGGAGCCTCAGTAGCCACCCTTCTCTCACGGTACCACCTGGGATCAGCAGAAAATTGCTGCCCCGACCGCGAATACCTGCGGCCTGCCTCCACTGTCGCGGAGCGGATCCCAACCCGATCTGAGGGGCTCAGATCTAAAAGTGTATCTATCTATTTACGTACCTACTCCAGTACCCGCCTGGGAAAGCGCTTTTGTTTTGCATCTGAATGAACTGCTCGAGTCCTCGAACTGCCTCGAACATACAGCCCTCGTAGCAAGAACTCCCCCGGCCAGAAGCGCCTGCGGAACGCGGGGTAGGCGACCCGGCACACACGCGCGTCGCAGTGTTGCCGACCCGGAGCTCCGCAGGCGCTCTGCCGCTCCGCGCGGCACTGCCGGCTTTGTCGCCCCGTGTTCGTGATCGTGGTCACCGCCCTCTCGGTCACCACGTCTCCTGCGGCCTCAGAGAATCATAGCCACCGCCGGGTCGCACTGCCGCGCTCACCTCCATCTAAATCCAGCATTTGTTGCGGCCTGTCCCACAGCCCCTGCCCTCCACCCCGCGGGCCCCCGCCCTTTACGGCTTACAGCAGCCTGTTGTTGGCGCACTCCTCTCTGTCTTGTCCTGTCTGGGGTTTAACCCCCTCCTCCTCTCCACGCGGATCGCTTTCTCGACGATTTACCGCCGTCTTTCTTTGCAGTAACCCTTTCCCGCGCTCGTTCGCACCTTGCTCCACCGTGCTGCCGGCCGCGCTGCAGCCTCGTCTGCCTATCGTAAAGGGTTTACGGTCCGCTTTGATAGCATCGGCCTCCATTTACTGACCGCCCCTCCCCCCTCCCCCTCCCCTTCACCCACGGGGCGACCGCGTGGACCCGCAACCCGCATCACAACACTTCATCAGGACGGCCCGCAACCGCACTTCAGTGCGGCAGTGCGCAGTGCGCTCCGGACGCGCGACACCGTGTCCCACGATGTACACAGTGCCGGGGGCGAGATGACAAGCTGCGGGGCGGCAGTGGGCCTGGGCCACTGGGCTGGCCTCCCGGCTGGACCCCGGGGACCGTCCTGCCGGGACTTTCGTCTCGTCTCGCGCACTATCTCAGCCGAGCTCTCTCTCCTCCCATGCCACTTGGAGGCGGCCAGACGGAGTGGTCTCTGAAGTAACAGGCCTTGTCTTCCAGGGCGACAAAAGCGAGGCAAGAGGCCGACTTTCCCTGCTTCCCCACTTCTTCTCATTTTTCTTGTGTACTCTGTTGAGAAATGTAGGACGGGCCCGTTTTGATAGGCAGCGATGCGGAGTCTGTCGCGATGATTAGGATGAGTTAGGGGAAGGGGGAGAATAGAGGGAAAATTGGTTGCCTCGTGAGGAGGGTACGACAACGCGGCGGCGGCGCCATGCCCCAGCCTCACCCTGCCGAGCCGAGGCAGTGATGTTGATAAACGTTCACCGCTCTTTGACAGAAAAGCGAATCTGCTCGGCGCTCTCGTCGCTCTGTCTCTCTCGCACTGCTGCGTCCGATGTAGGTGCGAGAGGGACAGCGACGAAGCGCTGTGCGAAATCACTCTGCAGCTCGGCGCGCTCGAACTCGACTATACTGCTCTCTCTCTCTCTCTCTCTCTCTCTCTCTCTCTCTCTCTCTCTCTCTCTCTCTCTCTCTCTCTCTCTCTCTCTCTCTCCGTCAGCCTCCACACGCGCACAAAGCCCCCAATTAAGCAGTGGGGCGCGCGGATAATCAGAGATGAGAAATTGCTCCGCGCGTGAAGCGTCTAGGCGTCTAGCGTCTCCGCGGCTCGCTGCCTCGCGGCGCGCGCCTCGCGAGCCTCGCGAGATTGGTAACAAACTGGCGCCAAACTCCGGTCGACCTCTGCCCTTTGCACCTCACCTCACCGCGCCCCGCCCCGCCCCACTCCGCCCCGCCCCGGCGGCGCGTCAAGGCTCAGGCAAGGCTGCTCCTGTTCCAGGCTCCACCTCATCCCCGACGAGCGGAGGCACCTCCAGTCACGCCAGAAGAAGAAGACCTGCAACCCCGTGTTTGACGAGACGTTCGTGTTCCAGGTACGGCCTTGCAAATCCCTTTCCGGGGCGCAGCCTTGACGCCACGCCGCCTCCAGCACAGTCACACAATAAATTGGCTGGCGGAACTCTGTTCGGCAGGTGCCGTCCAAGGATCTGGAGGACCACGCGCTGCGCATGACGGTGGTGGACACGGGCCGCAACAAGCGGAGGGCTGTCATCGGCCACCTCACTTTCCCGCTGAGCCGGCTGGCCGACGCCTCGGCGCCCGCCGTGTACAAGATGGACCTGGAGAAGGTAATGCGGAGCGCGGAGGAGGGGTGCTTGACAAGCAGTGCCACCGTCGGCCGGGGAGAGGCAACGCCCCGCGTCCTGCGCCCCCCGCGCCCCCTGCGGTGCCAACCCGTGCCAACCACTCCGCTGCGTCTGTGATAAACAAAAGCAAAGACGGTTACGCCTGGCCGCGCAGTGGCCGCGCTCGGCCGGGCTTTGCGTCATCACGTCCCCGCCGCGCCGTCCCCATCGCAGCTTCACTTAGCGCCGGGCTGCCAGCCCCGCCTGTCCCGCACCGCATGTTTTCTCTTTATTGTGGTAAAAAGCACAGCATGGGACAACCCTCTAGCTTTCTCTTTACTTTTTCACCCCAAAAAATGTGTTTGTTTTATGTTTACTAGACTCTAGACCTAGGGGGTGAATTCGGCGCAGCCTTTTTCTGCTCGCCGCCCCTCTACCTCGACCCTCCGTGTCTCTGACCCCTACCACTTATCCAACTGCTTATCATCCTGATGGTTTTCCAGACGCTGAACCTGTCACTCTGCATCAGGTTATCGAATACTGTCCCGCCCAAGGGTCGCACGGGGGCTGGCAGGGGTCCGGGGACCGACGGGAGGCCCCTAGTCTCCTAGTCGCCGAAGACATGAGGCAAAACAAGCTGTGGGGGCACCCAATTGACACCGCTAGAAAAATGGTTTCGTGTATCGCGGCGGGGTGGGGTTGGGGGAGGGGGGTGCCTGCCCCCATCCCCGTGCCCTACTCCATGCGCTCACGCTGACGGCACTGCCCAACAGGACACGCCCGAGATGCTGTCGGACCTCGGCGAGATGCTCGTGTCGCTGCTGTACAACGAGAACCTGCACCGCCTGTCCGTGGCCGTCATCGAGGCCCGCCGCGTCAAGGTAAGGGGAAGGCCAGCACAGCCGGCGCCGGCAGTCTCATTCCAAACAATGCTTTCGTCGCTCTGGCTCCGTTGCACCCCCAGGGAGTACCCCCTACGTGCGACAGAGACAGGACGACGAAAGCACTGTCCGGAATGAGCGTTGATCCAGCCCGGCCGGCTCCACCCACTCCGGTCCGGACACGTTTTGAGCCTTGTGCCCTTCGGTCCGTGTTGACTCCCCTTCTGTCCTGAGTGTCCTTGGTGTCCTCGTTGCCGTCACAGTTCCGGGACGACCGGCGCGAGGCGTACGTGCGCGTCATCCTGCAGCAGCACCACGGCCAGGTGAAGGTGAAGAGGACGACGACGGTGCGCTGCCAGGACGACAACATCAACTTCTCCGAGTGCTTCAACTTCCACGTGCCGGCCGCCTCCATCGACGTCTCTTCCCTCGCGCTGCAGCTGGAGCAGCCGAGCACGCGCTACGGCCGCGGCCGTAAGTGCAGTCGTTCTCTCAAGGCCGATTCCGAAAGTCGTTTTCGTCGCGCTGTCTCTCTTGCACCTGCACGGGACGCCCCATGAGTGTGAGAGAGACAGCGCGACGAAAACGACTTTCGGAATCAGGCTGCTGCTGCTGGTACGTTATGCTTTCCTTGTGACCGACAATGGGATCCGTTGCAGACAAGCTGATCGGCAAGTGCGTGCTGGGCTCCTACATGTTCGCCCGCGGGAAGGCGCTGACACACTGGAACACGTCGTTCGGCAACCCCATGCAGCAGGTGCAGCAGTGGCACGCCCTGTCCATCTAAGCGCCATTCCAAGTCTCGAAGCGATGGGACCGTGTGTTGAGTTAATGAGTGGTTCAAAATCTTTATTTTGGAGGTTTCGTGTTGAATGTCACCATTGCATAAGTGCGCCGTCGGCACAGTTATACAAATCGATGGCGTGCTAATTAGAATTAAATATTACTTTTAGAAATGTGTTAAGCATTGCACACAAATGTTGATACCTGCTCGATAAACCTTGATGCATCAGCTATCCTTTATCTGCTGTGTTTACTCATGAGAACACAATGCTTCTAGTGAGACCCTTTGATTATTGGAAAATGAGACACCTTCGAGTATTTTTGTTTGTTTCATGATCATGTGTGGAAGTGAAATGCAATGGCTATTTTTATATATTAAAGTTAAATAGGGTAGCACACAAGTTTATTTGGTAGAGCTGTGATAATACAAGAATATTTGTTGCATTGTATCACCTAGATTTTGTTGGCCCATCAAAGAGAGCACAATATCCTTGATTCAATTATTAAATCCTGAGATGAGTGTGGAGGAACTAGTTTCATCAGGAAATCAAAATACATATTCATTAAATCTATTTAACTCTTCATTTACTGTAGTCCCTTTTCTTATCCCACCACAAGGGCACTTGGAGACAAAAAAAAATTACACATACATACAAAAACAAAAAATCTTATATCTTTTATTACATGCAATCAAACTAATTAGAAGGAAATAAAAATCTACAGTTCAAGGTCAACATCGTCAAAATCATCTCCAGTAACAGAAAATACTTGAGAACTGCATCTTGACCCTTGACTAGGCTGAATTCTTTGCGAAGCATCACGATTATCACAGTTGGTGGACACCTTCATTTTTTGAGAGCTATGCAGCTTCTTCCCAAGACTTTTAATGGCTTTGAATGCGTCATGTGTGTTGTTCTTTGTCTGGGTTGTAGGAACAGGGTTGGCAGACACATCAACTCTTGGAGGTGAATTGTCAGCTATGTTTGTGTCTTTAGAATGGGGAGGGTTCCCATCACTGCTGTGACCACTATCTGAACTAATTGAATCTGTCTTGCTCCTGAATTTCTGGAGTTTCAGAAAAGCTAAAGTGGAAATGGCCACTTTTGGTGCTAGAGGATTCCTTTGAACCTTTTCAACAGTACTTGGTGATTCTAAACATTTAATCTTTTCTTCATCAGCTATGTTGATCTTGTTTTGTGTTGATGTGGCTGCAGGCAATTCATCATTTGACGAACACTTTTCTGACTCCTCTAGGTTCCCATCAATTATTGAACTGTTCTTCTCATTTAAAGGAACTCCTGTTCTACTATCTTTCTTCTCTTGGTCTGGGGAAGTTTCTCCTTTCTTTATTTTGTTCTTATCTTTGGAAAAAGTGAAGAGCTTCTTTAAAGATTCCACTTTGGATCGGATAGATGGAGATTCTTTGGTAGTGTTATTGGAAGCACTGGCACTCGGATCAAAATTGCTTTCATCAAGAACATCTGTTCTAGCGTTGCCTGTTTTTTTGTTCTTTCCTCTTCCCTTTGATGAAGGTGTTACAGGTGACGTCGAGACTGAGGGTGGTTCTCCAGCTGCGTCCCGTGACCCAGTCTTTGCCTTCTTCCTGCTAGCTTGAGGAGACTCGGCATTGGAGGAGTCCCTCGTATCATCTGGAGCTGACTTCTCCTTCACAGATGTTCGTTTTCTTTTAATACCGACTGAACTCTGCTGTTCAACAGTTCTTAATAAATTGTGATTCCTAGTGTGGCGAATATTGCTAAGAACAGAACTCAATTTTTCTGATATGGCTGAGGTTCCACCGGCAATGGGTAATTCACCTTCACTGGAGGGTTGCCTGGTTAAATTTGAATCTGAAGCAGGGTCTATACTTCTCATATGACTAGCTGCTTCTCGATTGGTAAATACTTTGTTGCACTTTGCAGGAGATGTTTCCTCTTCTGTTTCATTGTCATCCGTATCAGCCATCTGTCGCGAAAGGAAAATTAAAATACCAAAGGATAACAGTTAATATCATTATTGTAAGCAAAATGCATTAGCGAAAGAACATTAACTCTTACTTCTGGTATTTGTTGATCATTATCACTTCCGAAACATTCTTGTCTGCAGCGATTACATTCCTCCTCTAAAATGTCCAACAGATTAAGTTTGCGTAGTAAACCATCCACTAGAAGATAAAATAAAATATTCAAATTAACAACCCATTTTGAAGCCCAAGAAATGTTGGGTAACTTGTTACACTAACTTTGCTTCCAATAATCTTCCATTGGGTTCAAAGGAAATGATGTGTGAAGTGCACTTAAATTTGATACAATGGCGTCATTGTGCAACGATGATTCCACAAGTGAAACAGCAATGACTGCATCTTGTACTGTCACTTCTTGGTGAAACATCAAACGGGCATGAGCCTGAGATAGACTAGATATTTGAAAACGGGGGAGAGAAAAGTATGTAAATAATGTAAACACCCATAAATAGGTATAAATTAAGCAACAAATTTTGATAAAGGAAAGGAATGCAACTTACCGCACTAAACTCTCCAGCATTCTTACTGTTGTTCTAGCAGCATTCCGAGAATCAGCTCTCCTTTGCGCTTGGTAGTATGAACCAAGAATTCTATTTGCGTTATAACTAAGAACAGGGCGCAAAGTCTTGATGGTACAAAAGTAGGCTTGTAGCTGTTCAAGTGTCCACAGGCCTGACAGAAGACTTCCTCCTGATATGGAGGTATTAGCCTGAGACTTTGATTTTTTAATATTTGACTGTGACAGTGGATCTCTGCCTTCAAGTATGAAACTTGACACCATACTGACATGAAACAAATACAAAAGATATAAATTCAAACAAAATTAATTATACATATATTCATTTAAAAGGAGAATTCAAAACGTACTTGTCCCAATCTTGATTGCAGGAATCCAAAAGGACCAACACCAAGTCAAAGCGGCTTAAGAGCGGGCTAGCAATAGCAACATTTACAGTCATGGGTTGATTGGGGTCATACTGTCCCTTTGGATTAGTGGCTGCAAGAATGGTACAACGAGTGTTTAATTTGCACACCATTCCGGCCTAAACAGAAAATAAAAATGTTATGCATCTTTTGTCCTTTAACTGAAATGGAAATAATGTTCAATTTTTGAAACAGAACCTTAGCAACACTGATTGTTTGCTGTTCCATTGCTTCATGAATACTTGTTCTATCTTTTTCACGGATTGAGTTGAACTCATCAATACAACATACTCCACCATCAGACAAAACAAGAGCACCAGCCTCTAGTTGCCATTCACCACCTTCCTGTGAAATACAAATCATATTAAGAATTTTGTCAAAGACACAAGAAATCATCAAACCAAATGATAATCGCATAATGTATTTGCATAAAAGGAACTAGAAAATTTTTCAATATCTTACCCTGACAGCGCTGACAGTGAGCCCAGCAGATGTGGACCCAACGCCAGTGGTGAATACTGAACGTGGACAAACTTTGGCTGCAAATCGAAGTAAGTGAGACTTTCCAGTGCCCGGGTCACCGACCAATAATAGATGTGATTCACCCCTAATACGACTGCCAGAACTTTCACAGTGCTGGACTCCTCCAGTAAGAACCAAACACACAGCTAGCTTTGCCAAATATAATCCATAAACCTAGAAAAACAAAAAGTGTTCCATATCAATCACTTGGGAACTTTTGTATCACAACAATCAAGTACACCTCAATACCTGTGGACAAAATGAAGCAAGAATACGATTTCTTGCACCAAGAGGATCATGTAATTGAGATTTCCAAAAATTTTCAAATTCATCTCTTATCTCTTGAGTGACAAGGACTGATGAACGTTGATCATTGCAAACCTGTAGATGGTTTGCTTGAACAACTAGGTCAATATCACATCGAGTCCCAGCTGATAATGGACGCCACCGCCTTAACACTGTTCCACTGTATTGTCACATGCAAAATCATAGAAAATTAATCACTGTGATATGGATTTGAATAGAAAGTTTCAATGGCTTCCACTAATTGTATAAAATGGATTCAGGTACTGAAAAGCAAGGAATGAAATCTTGCTAAAGGTACTGAACGCAAGGATTGAAGCAAGTAAGTGTTGTAACTTACCAAACAACTACATCATCTCCTGGCTTGCATGAATCAACAAGATCATCTTCCAGAGTCACCCACATAGAGCGAGGCATGCTTCCCACATGCAGTTTGCTCACTTGTTCCTTTGGAAAATTATAACAATCGTGAAAATAAACATATCTCCAATCAATGCCTCAACAAAACACTGTAAGTACCTGTATTTTTATTTCCTGATAGTCTTTGTAATTTTTGTGGTCAACTTTTTCATTGGGGTTGAAAATGGTTCCTTTACATTTCTCTGGATTTGGACAATGTGTGATGGGTGAGAAGCAATAATATTGCTCATATTCTGCCTGTTGCAAGAGAATAGAAACATTCAGAAAGAAGAAAACGTTTCAAAGATGTGTCAGACCGAATGCACTCAATAGGAGACTGTCATTCCTTACTTTGATAGTGAAAGAATATTTGCATTTAGCACAAATAAAGTCCCTTTGGTGTTCAAGCATTTTAGCAGCTGTAATGCGTACAATTGTTCCAGACACTCTCAAAAAACTTCCAACATCATCATTTCGAGGGAAAATTGCTCTATGTAACTCAGGACAGACAGGCAAAGCTAAATAAAGTGGAAGTGAAAAAAAGAATATCAAAATTAATTCCAGGCAACAACTTTGTTTCATGAGTTTTATCCTCAAGAGAAAAATAAATATTTACCAGTGAGACGTGCATGAATTCGGGATTTTAGGAAGAAGTCGCCTTTTGAAGACTCCTTCAACAAAATTGCTTTCTGTGCTTCATAGAGCGCTGAATCAAATATTGGCAAAAGATGAGTTGGCCGAGATAAAATTCCATCCCCTAATTCGGTGCTCGTTTCAAACAGCGTAACAAAACTGTAATAAAAAATATATCAAACATTTGTTGGTAAACAAACAACAGAAGGAGCACAGCGGAGGCAGCCAGATTTAAAGTTAAATGGTGGATCTTACTTGACAGTGACTGCATAATGTTGCAGGTCATCCTCTATGGACATTATATCTTTTAATTCAACTTCATGGTTAGCCATGACATACGCTTTAAATCGATCTGGAAAACAACATAACTGTTGTATTGTTTACAAGAAAAAGTACAGGTTAAACTCAAAACTAATGTGACTCTTACCTTTGTATTCCTCATCTGTGAGAGACATATCGCCTGCGACAGTAAAAACAATATTTGAAAGACTGATCCGCAAAATATGGCAAGGATATTAAATAGGAAAGGAATTTATCTGATATGACACATTTGGAAGAAACATTGCCTCATAAAATCGAAAAGATCCGCCTACAGGTGTGCGTAGTATACCAACCTGCTAAAAAAAACACACACACACAATGCCCAACTTGAAAAAAAATCATTTGGTTGAACTTTTGCAAACAAACATTTGTTTTAACTTCAACTAAGAAAGGATTTTTTTAAAATTACCCTATTGACCTATTAGAAAACTTAGCACAACGACGTCGTGCAAGGGGAAGACCTGCGCATCATCTGGGGATCAAAACAAGCGGGAACATTCAAATGTTGGGGTATGGAATTGAATGTTTCGAGACTGGAAGGGGCGTGTTGTTGTTAAGAAGGAAGGAAATCCAGTGGTAGCGGTTTTAAGAGGGGGAGGAGCGGTAAACTACGTTGCGTACTTAGTGAATGGTCCTTTATTCTGCAGAAGATTATGTGTGACTTGAGTCATTTCGACAATCTAAATATTTTAGAAATCGACTTGCGTTTTACGAGAGTGGTGCTCCGACACCAAATTCAGTTGGCATTTGCTAATAATGCAAGACGCTCTTTCCAGCCATTGGCCCTTCCTTCTGGTCAGCTCGACTGGCAGGTCGCGTGTGGGCCCCCTTCCCCTCCCCACCCCGCCTCCTAAGGCCTTCGACTGGAAGAGAGCGGCGCGGGGTGTGCCTTATTTCGGGTTTCGGGCAGAACCCAGCGGTAGACCGATTCCGAGAGTCGTTTTCGCCTCTCCGTCTCTCTCGCACTCATGGGCGGTCCCTTATAGTAGGTGCGAGAGAGACGAAAGGGACTCTCGGCAACTCTGCAGAACCGCGCACCGCCGTGCAGACCGCGAGACAGAGTGGATGAAAACTTAATGCCCTGCCCACCCGAGCATCCCACCCACCCTTGGCGCCCTTGGCGTGGCCGGTGCGGCGCACACGGACTCCTGGCGCACCCGCTCCGGCCAAAGAGCCCCTCGGCCAGTGCATGGCCCAAAGCCGGACAGACACCCCAAGCACAGCGGCAGGCTGGCAGAGGCCTCCCGAAGGTCCCCAAGGGCCCCACAGCCACAGCGCGACAGCCTGCAGCAGCGCGGTGCTCCGCAGTACGCCGCAGAGCGCCGCAGAGCACCGAGGATGGGGCAGAGGGGCGCGGCCTGCCTGCTCGTCCTCGCCGTCCTCGCCGTCCTCGTCGCCGCCAGTGAGTTTCCTCTGGGGAAGTCCACGTGACGGAAGTGACGAAAGAAATTTCCCATTGGTGCGCACGAAATCCGAAATCGGCACGTTAGGCTGACACTGACACTGTGTCTGTCTCTCTCTGACACAGCCGAAGGACTGCGCTGCTACGTGTGCAACTCGAAGGCGGACAGCCGCTGCGCCGACCCCATCCAGGCCGCGGAGGAGCCGGCCGAGGGCCAGGACGGCGACGCCAGTGACAGCAAGAACAGCAACAACAATAACAATAATAATAACAACAATAATGATAATAACAAAAATAGTAATAATAACAACAACCAGTACGACGCGCAGAACGAGGGGCTGCAAATGGTGGACTGCAAAGTGGCTCACAGCGTGCGGCAGGCGATGGATGCGGTAAGCACTCGTGCGTCTTGAAGGAATTTCGCAGAGAATTCCGAATAGCGGAATAGCCAAATAGCGGAATAGCGGAACTGGCCGAGAGCGCCTCTCGGACGAGCGGAGCCCGGCCAGGTGGGCCATCGTCCTCGGCGGCACACCGGTGTGAGGACGGTGGCCTACCTTGTCCCTGTGAAGGGTTTGCGGCCACAAAGCGGACACCGAGCTGAACGCGGCCTTCGAGGCCTTCACGGACTCCTCGTCGCGGTGCCTGCAGGTGAATGGGCTGCTGTCGCGCCTCGGGCAGCGCGCTCCAGGAGGCGGGGACGTCTGGGCCGCGGTGAAGGCCTCGACGCAAGCTAGCTTGGCGGCGGCGGGCGCGTTCCCCGGGCAGTCTTCCGGGCAGGGCCAGCAGCACGGCCGTGAGCACGGCGGTGGACTTCTCGGCCAGAGGGGCGGCCAGCAAGGCGGCCAGCAGGGCAACCAGCAGGGCAACCAGCGGCAGGGCAACAGGGGCAGCCAGCGCGGCTTCGACGACCAGGACCCCGACGCGGCCTGCCACAAAGTAGACATGGAGGGTGAGTCCGCACTGCTTGTGAAGTAGCTTAGCTGTCTTAGCTTGCCTGTCCTACTTCCGGTATCGGCAAGCCATCATGCCTCCCGTGCGCGCGTTGCTTCGAACTCCAGTAATGGCCGAGTTTTCGGCCTGAATGTTGCAGTGGACGGGGAGTTGATCACGGACCGGGGTTGCGCGCCCGGACGTATCCTGGGCCAGGATCCGTGCGAGGCGCTGGCCGCCGCCCTGGGGGAGACCGAGTCCTGCGAGCTGTGCGACGGCGACGGGTGCAACACGGCCTCCACGGCCAGGGCCTCCAGCGTGGCGGCAGCGGTCGCCGCGTTTGTACTCGGCCTCCACCGCGCGCTGTGGCAGCCTTGAGGGTAGCCTTGAGGGTGGCCTCGAGGGTGGCCTTGAGGGTGGCCTTGAGAAATGACCTTGAGGGTGGACTTACGCGCGGCCCTCAGGGCTTGCCGTCGTGCGCAACGGGTAAGATGCTGCTGTAATGCCTCACCGACGAGGGATTCGAGTGAGTGCCCTGGAGTCCAGAGAAGCGTATAGTTCGTGATCCAGGCCCTCCAGGCTGCAGGCCCCGGGGAAGTGCGAATACTAGAGATGAACTTCCTGCGTCTGGGGGCATATGTTTTCGCAAGAATACACCCAAGGTTTGGATTTGCAGAATGGCTGGGTAGGTGTCGATGGTAATTGTGTTAAAACATCAGAATGAGTTAAGGTTGGCGATCATAAAAACTTGTCGCGAAACACACACGAGCTCATTGTGAATTAGTGAACGCATTTGTCGCAAATAAATAATATTTTAGTTCAAGTGGTTTGACTTTCAATCTCCTGTCCTGCACTGGAAATTGATCAGATATGCAGTTTACAACAAAACAGGACGACACATGTCCTTTCCATGTTATGAAGAAAACTTAAAACACATGCTGGGCTGGGACCTGAATGTCAGTGCCGCCTGTTCTCCACGCCGCGCCGAGAGCGTAGGCAACCCAACGCGCTCCCCCGGCCCGGCGGCCTGCTAGAGAGGAGCGCACGGCAGATGGGCGTCACCACACTAGAAAAAAAATCGCGGTGACTGTACTCAACTCGAATATCGACTGGGGAGGCAAGCTCGAAAATTGGCAACACAGGCAACAAATGGTAACAGCGCCAGCTGGGCAAGGGCAGGGGCAGAGTCATATGTAGTACGACTGTGGGCAAGGGGTGGCTCCTCCCCTCCCTTCCCCCGCCCACGTGACAGGAAACGGAACTTCCCCGTAACGCGCCGTCGGTCGAAGGCTGGAAGGCTAGAGGGCTAGAAAGCTGGAAGGCAAAGGCTTTCGTGGCCGAGGCCATTAACATGTAAAGTGAAATGGACGTAAAAGTTGATGGCGGCGTGCGCACCACACCACCACCACCACCACCACTACCACCACCAACACCACCACCACCACCGACACTACCACCACCTCCGCCGTACGGCCACCGGCTTCCGCTCCGAAAGCAGCAAGTTGGTGTGCTTCACACGATTCGGAAGGCTTCAGCATGTATAACACGGCCGAAATTACACAGAACTTCTTATTCGGAGAGCGCCCATGTGCCCACTCGTCATTTTTAATGCGGACTTTAGACAACTTCCTTCCTCGAGGAGAACTGTACGCAATGCAAGTGAAGGAAGTTGGAGGTAGGAGGGGTGATAGAGGAGCGGTTAGGGAGGGGGGACTCCACTCTTTACCGCCTCATGGATCATGTCGGTGGGAAGCTTTGGCTTCGTGTTACTATATGCCAAGGTAGAATGAAGTCGATCCAGCGCCTGGGCGAGCAGGAGGTGGAGAGAGAGAGACAGAGAGAGAAGGGGGAGAGGGGAAAGGAAAAAGGAGGAGGGGGTGTCAGTCCTCGGAGAAGGGGAGGGATCCGGTGTACCAGCGAGGGCGCCGTCATGGCATGACAGCAGGACATCGGTACGGGAGCCGCCCGCACCCGCCATGCTACTGCCGCCACACGGTAGAGGGCGTGGCGGCGCCGCTGGTGGTGGTGGTAGTGGCGGTGGCGGTGGCGGCCATGGTGGAGGCGACGCCGTCGCTTTGCAAGCCGCGTGAGTCCCGAGTCGCGTAGTGCCCAGCGCAGCTCAGCGCGTCGCGTCAGTCTTCGGCCCGGCGTCCTTCCCGCTCCACTAAGCCTTGCTCGCCGCGCCGCTCCTCGCCATGGACCGCACCATCATGTTCCTGCTGCAGGCCCTCTGCGCCGTGGCACTGCTCTCAGGTGGGTGCTGCACTGCCTGCACGCACTGCGGCTCGACTCTCAAATCTGCGGATTTTGCCGAAAGGGCTGCCTGAAGCGACTTTGCAGACGAGGTGACTTCGACGTGTACAAGTACTAGTACTAGGATGCGTGTCTATTTTACGCGGTTTTACTCTCATGTGAGGAACCCTCTCGAACGAAGCTGCGTACGTGGCCATCCCAGGGAGAACGCTGTTGCTGGCGGGGGCCGCGACAAAAGGTCACTCGCTCCGCGGGGAAGTCCCGGGGAAGTACAGCCCCTCGGCCCCCGCCCTTGCAGTGCCTTGCAGTTTGTGCTGGGGCTGGGGCACGCTCTGCGTTGATTACTACGTCGCTGCGTTGCAGCGCTGTCCTAGAGTCTACAGGGAGCTTTCCGTCTGTCGTCCAGCCTGGAGTAACAGAGCTCAATCGGGGCAAGGCACTCCGTGGGAAAGTGTGAAGAATAGCGTGTCGTGTGCGAAAACAAGGGAATCGATTCGGATGTGGCTGACTGGCTGAGTGCGAGGCGCGCGCCGCGCGGGCCAAAGAGGTGAGGGACGCCAAGGGGGGAGGGGCGCCCTGCCCGGAGCCCGGAGGCCTGAGGGGGTCGCGAAGGGGCCCGCCGGCCCGGCCACTTTGCTCGCGGTGCTCAGCCACTCAGTGGGGTCCGTCGGGGAGGGGCCGGCATGGCTGGCAAGGGCCGGTGTCCGGCAGGGCGGGGGGTTGTCGACCCCCATCAGGACTATCAGGGCGAGGTGAGGGGTCTCCGGGGACGGCGTGGGGGCCGCGCGGTGCCGCCAGCCCCCTGCCAGCCCCCTGCCAGCCCCCTGCCTGCCACAGGTCAGGCGCTAGACGGGTTGCGTGCAGCGGACGTTGCCGTCTTTGAATGTCAGGCGAGAAGTCTGTTCGTGCGTGTCAAATGTGTGTGTGTGTGTGGGTGTGCACGTATGTGTGTACGTGTGCGCGTGTGGTATTGGCTATGCCTTTGTGCCGCCCGGCGTTGCCCGGCGTTGCCCGGCGTCCACCGCGGCCAGCACGGCAAGCAAGCGGACTCGTTGGAAAATGGACAAACTGTCCGGCAGACTGCTTCGCCTGCCTCGGCTTCGCGGTCGCATGTAAATCCGACTCCTTCCTTTCCTTTTATTTTCTGCTCGATATAAAAACTCCCAGCGCCGGGTGACTTTTGTTTTCGTTATTGTTTTTGTTCACGAACGCGAAGCAAGCGCGATCCTTGCGAGACAAAGCGAAGGCGCACGCCCCCGTGGCTGCAATACAGAGGTGTGGATGTTTGTGTGTGTTGTCAAGTGAATGCCTCGCTGTCTGCCTATGACTGCTATGACGAGGCGCGGCGGGGCGATGGCGCGGCGGGGGGCGGTGGAGCCGGTGGCCCAAAACGCCGCGCCCACGCGCTGCCCCGCCTCCCTGGCCGGCCTGCTTGGCTCGGCTCGGCTCGGCTCGGCGCCGACGCCCGTCCCGGCGCTGCGCTGCGCTGTCCCCGCTGTCCGACTCGTCCGTGCTATTCTGGGTGTGGCCCTCTAGGCCCTCAAGTCCGCCACCAGGTTGAGGCCGTTGAGGCCGGTCGGACGGCCGGCCGTCTAGGCCCGGGTCTTTCGACGTCCCTCCAAAAGTGGCGTGCCGCACGGGATGCGTGCGTGGCCCTGGGCGTGGGCGCGAAGCGGCCCGAAACCCTCCCGGTCGGCTGCAGGGATGAGAGCCCCCTGCGGGTCTTCATGACGGGGTGTCTCGGGGTGTCTCGCTGGATCCGGGCCGCGCGCTCGCCGCCTGCCCCGTTGTCCACCGTCGCTCCGTCGAGCACGGCGTCGCGTGCGGTCGCGCCATAACACCGCCCCCATGAAGACAGGCACCGCCGTGGAGGCGCGGTGCGCGGTGCGCGCGGTAGGAACAAGCTCGGCGTGTGCGGGAACGGTAGGCCGCGTCCAGAATGAGGAAGGAAAATCCGAGCAATGAAACGAGGGGGGGGGAGGGCGTCGCCCCGGACACCCTACCCGGCCGGGAAGGCGAGGCGCTCCGGCTGCTCCGGCCCACCAGGACCCACCGGGAAGCCGGAGAGGAAATGACAGATTATGCGCGCCGGGCAGGTGCAGGATCCCGTCTGGCAGGCCGACGGTCTGACGGTGGGCAGGGTTTGTCAGGCGCGGACCTTGCAGGAAGAACACTCTTCGGCACGCTCCGTAGACTGATTCCGAACAGCGTGTCATCGCTTTGTCTCTCTTGCACTCGTAAGAGACCCACGACACGAGACAGAGCAACGGCAGCGCAGTTCGGCATTGGCCGGCAAACCGCGGCCGCCCTCGCAGTGTACTGGACTCTGCGTCAAGTGAACTTAATGCCCTCCGAGCAACGGCGGGTGTGATTCACCAGCCCGCGGCAGTGCGGCCAGTGCGGGGGAGGGGGGGGGGGGGAGTCGCGTGCCGCGGTTCATGTTGAACGTGCACACGTGCGTGACATGCGGGCGTCTGGACTGGACCCTGCGGATGCCGCAACGCCGCAGCGTCGCGTGCCTTCGTACTTCTTCGTGCCTACGGGCCTACGGGCCTACGGGCCTACGGGCCTACGGGCCTATGGGACGGAGTCCGCTCCGTAAATTTGGTGAACACGCGTTCGCGTTGCGGTGGTCTGCATCCCCCTCCTCTTGTAGGCGTGGCGGCGGGCGCGAGGGAATCAGCGAACCCCGCCGCTAGAAGCAAGCCTCGGGCCGAGCCCCCCGGCCGCCGTGGGGCCACGGCCCGGGCACGGGGCACCTTGAGGCTCTGCGCCACTCTGGGCCACTCTGGGCTTGCCTGCGCTTGCCCGGCCGACGGCGGGCGTAGCGACGCGGGCAGCGCGCCAGGGTTACCAAACAAACCGCGGAGTGTCCCTGCAGGCCGTGCTCTGGCGCCCGGTTGCCCGGTGCAGCGTGACCCGATCGGGATTGCATCGTCCGCTGAGCCAGGTCGCGCGTTCGACTCCCCTCGTCGCCGCGTGGCATACTTTCTTTTCCGGGCGTCGTCCCGTTGCGCCTGGGTGGACCTAGGTGGACCACGCGAGCGCGCCTTTTGAACGAATAATTGGTTTGCCCGTCGCGCCTCCGTGTCTAGTGTAGTGTCTCCGTCGGCGCGCACGGCATGGCGGGGGCCGCGGCACCGAGCACCGCGATGTGCATCGCGCGCTGTGTGCATGCGGGCCAGTCTGTGCGGGGGCGCCCTTGGGAGCGCCGCGATTCGTCAGAGCGCCCCCCCCCCCGGTCCCCCGCCCCGCACTCACACAGACATGCTCATGCATTTGAACACATTCACAGCTGTACGCAAACTGCTCTGTCTGCGACGGCGCGCGTCCCCGTCCCTCCCTCCCTATTCCTGTCCCCCCGGCCCCGCTCTCGCGGTGGTGCTTCCCCGGCGGCGTGGCGGTCAATCTTCAATCAGCAAATTGATTACGGTGGAGCATCGCACCCATCATGGCCGTCCGCGAAACGACGCGAGAGGAGTGATGGGCCCACGGGGGCACGGGGGCCGCGGGGGCCTCGCGGCAGTAATTGCACGGCTGACCTAAAAGGGGGTATAGGGGCGTGGCCGCCACGGGTGCGGTCTGCCGATTGTGTTTGCTTGTGTGTGTGTGTGTGTGTGTGTGTGTGTTCGTATTTTGGTACGTATATGATGTACGAATGTATGTTGGCGTGCGCGGCGCGCGTGCGTGTGTATGTGTGTCACTGGTGTCACCAGGCCGGATAGAGAGAGGAGGGGCATGACGTTGCGACGCCGCGCCGCTGATCGTCCTCGAAAGCGCGCCAGCGTGTTTGAGTGTGTATAAGTGTGTAGCTGTGACATCATCACCGTCACAGCCGACCAAACTTTTTCCCCATAGCAAGGTCGCCCGGCCAAGGCTTCAAACCGTCATAAACTTTTGCGAAAACGGAAATAAAAATGTCCGCCCCTTTATCGTTGCCGCGGTACCCCTTTTGATGTATTCCAGCGATTCTAGCGATTCTGGCGCCGGCCGCCACCCCCAACGCAAGGCAAGGCCTCGGGCAAGCTAGTAGCCGGGCAGGAAGCAGGTGAAGTGAAGCAGGTGAAGCCTAGCTGGGCCGCGCGTGCTTAGCACGCTGTCACCCCAGGACGCAGGGACGGCGGGCTGGAACGGCACGCGAAAACTCCAAAGCGAAACACCGCCTGCCGACGCAACGATCCCTCGGGATCCTTCGCCGCACGGTGGACGGCCTGGACGGCCTGGAGGGAGCGAAGGGTTCGGCAGCTCTAGTCAGTCTCGGCCTGGCCGGCGGCCGCCAGCCCACGCCGAACACACCAACAACACTGTTCGGCGGCAAGGAAACAAAAATTAGCGTTTCTTTTGCTTCTGGTTGAGTCCAAGGTCACGCTGGTGGGCGTGGCAGAGCGTGGCGGTGCACTATCCTAATACCCACCAAGTCCAGGCCAAGTCCGGCGCCATGGGAACATTTCCACCGGCACCCGAACAACGGTATCTCCGGTAAATCAGCTCAGACTGACCCGCGCCACGCAACAACGCTTGGCTGAACTTGGCGACCTGGAACGCCGCGCCAAAGCACGCGTGGCCGCGGCGGCGTACTCCATCACGTTGACCAACACTCGGTGGCGCGGCGGCGCGCGCGGTGCACTCATGATTATTGTAATTAATTGGCTGCAATGAGGGCCGCGACCGGTTTTGTTTTTCTGTGGCGGGTCCGGCCGGCAGGCCAAGTCCTTCGCCAAGCCCTTCGCCCTTCCTCGGAACGAACCGTATCTCATCAGCATGCACGGCGTGGCAAGCCGTGGCCGCACGGCCGTGACGGTGACGTCACCGCGAGGGAAGGCCCAACGACAAACGGCCGCTTGATGCCGGAGTATCGTTTCGTCGCTCTGTCCCTCTCGCACCCCTACGGAGCGCCCCATGAGTGCGATGGAGTTGGGCGGCAAGTTCTGCAAGTCTCAGGCCGCCCAAGCCCAAATCGAAGGAAATGCCGTGTGCTGTTGGGCGGCTCGCGGCAGAGCCGAGGCTGTAAACGACTGGCCGCGGGGAGGAGGGAGGTTCGTGGTTCATGGTTATTGGAAGAGGAAGCGGTTTGCTTTGGGGGTACCTTACCCGGGCGGGCACGGCCAGCGGCCCGGCAGTGGCGGCAGCGGGGAAGTCATAAGTAAGAAGTATGGCCGGTAAGGGCCAGGGCGGCCCGGCCAGGCGGCCAGGCCCGCTGGACGGCAAGATAGCGCGCGCATTTGCATCGCGTTCGGGACGTGCATGAACTACGTAACGTAACGCCGGTCGTTAGTGCAAACGCATTGTACCCTTGAGCTAATCCTGTCGTTTGTTGTCGGGGAACCACCCGGCACGGCGAGCGGCACGCCCGGCCCCTGTACGGCTTCTGGCTTCCTCTCGCTAACCTGACCGCCGCAACCGCCTCCCCTCGAGCCTCCGGGACTCCTCATGCAGTGTAGGGCCAGGAAGTGGACGACGGCGTGCTGCCGCGGTGCATCGCTTCCTCTGCGCGGCCTTCGAGGCCCTGCAAAGTCCGCGCTATCTCTGTCTCTCTCGCACTCATAGGGCGACCCTTACTGGTGCGAGAGAGACAGCAGCACTGTTTGGAATCGAAGCGCCGCGACGTGGAACGCGTGGTCGTCGGCGAACATTCCTCAATCGGCCGGACAGGACAGTGCGCGGCCTTTGAACGGCGTGCGTCGCCTCGATGCCATTCCTCCTCGCCCACGGCCCTATCGGTCTGGCTGGCTGGCGCACTCGCGTCGCCGGGAAGGCCGGGATGCTCGACCTCTCCGATTGTTTCCGGTTTCCAGTTTCCGCGAGGCTGCGCATTGCGATTGGAACGCCGCAACGCGAGGTTCCGGTTCAACGCGGTTTTTGGAGTGGACTGTACCGGCGGGTGCCTGGGACTTCCTGCCGAGAAGGCAGCGTTCGCGAACCGACTTGCGACATTTCAGATCGACTTTTGGCTTCTGAATGAATGGCAGATGAGATTCGAGTATCCAAGTGGAACGCTGCGCTGCGCCGGGCTAAACAAACAAGTCTGAACGGGTCTCGGCTTGGTTCTGCTTGGCGGCGGCGGTGGCGAGGCCGCCGTCGTGGAGGGCACCTTGGCGCCGCACGCCGCACCTGGCCGCGCCTCCTGCGGAGTCCTTCGCCGCTCCTTTCCTGAAAAGTCGCACCACGGCTGCTGCCGCGCGTCCGCGCTGCGCTCGGCGCTCCGATTGGCTGCTGATTCGACTATCGCCACTCGGATGAAAAATCTCGGCGCCTTGCCGCGATTCCGACCCACGCCCGCCTCCTGCCACCTCGGCGGATCGGGTGGCCCTTCGGGTGGCTGGCGCGTCCTGTGTCCGCCCGTCCGCGCACCTGTGGAAGCAGGTGCTTGGGAAGCCTCACCGTCCGGGCATGGAGCACCCCGCTCGCCCAAAAAGGGACTGGGGAGGGGGCACTATGGGTGACGCCCGGGCGGCACGCGGCACTGGTGCGGTGTGATGACCAAGACCAAGATGCAGGCCGCGATGCAGGCCATTAAGCGCGATCCGAGGCCCCATTGTTCGTTCACGGCCCCGCGGCCCCAATGGTGGCCCCAATGGTGGCCCGTGCTGCCCGTGGCCCGTGGCCCCGTCACGGCACGGCGCTAATCCAGCAAGTCCAATCCGCCGGACCAGTCTTGAGTTGCGTGCTACCGAGCTGCGCCAGAACCAGATCGGCCACGGGAAAACAGCGGCCACGACGAAACGGTGGAAGTCCCTCCGAAAGCGAAGGGACTTCCTTCCGCCCCTCCTGCTGTGGCGAGCGGGGCGAGTGTTGCACCTGTGCCAGCTGGTGTCCTGGCCGTGCTGGCCGTCCTGACGCAAGGCGCCCGGCTGGTGTTCATTCAGAAGGGGGCAGGTTTTCCTTGACCATGAAGGGGAGCGGGAGCGCGCGGCGGTGGGGTCTTCAGTGTCCCGGTGGCGGCCAGCTGGCTGGTTTCGTTCATCACTCTGTCTCTCTCGCACCCCTTACGGGACCATGAGTGCGTTCCATGAGTGCGAGAGAGACAGAGTGACGAAGGCGCTGTTCGGCATTGGCCTGCTGCGTGCCTCGTGGCTCGGAGTTGGGAGTCCTTAAGCTAGGGACTCTACTAGGAGCGTGGGCGGGAAATAAGAGTTTCCCTTCGCCGGGGCCCGCTGCTCTTGCTTGATGAAAAACGAAATAAGAGTTTCCGAGTTTACTTTATTGCTCCCGTTTATTACTATCCGGACAATGGCTGGTGTCGTGAGGGCCATAATGCATCATTGCGTCCTGCACTGACAAAAATAAAAACCCAACAGAAAAGAAAGGTCTTTGAACCTATACGAATCATTTCTTTGAGCCAAAGAGTTTTGTTCGTAATTAAAGGCACAACGGGGTTCCCCACCCCTCCTCCAAAATCACCACCTTATGTCGTGAAGGTCATAATTTGGCACTTCCTCTCGAGGTGTCGGCGGCCACCCTGGTCGCGCCGAGATTTGAACTTGGGCGCCGTGAGTTGCGTCGTGTCCGGTGCTGGTGCCGCCAATTGAAATCACTTTACCCGGCGCTGGCGCGCGGGTAGAGTCTACCAGGACATGTTCACTGGTTCACCCACGCCCTCGCCGCACCGCGCCGGCCGGGCCATACACACTGCGTCTCGCTCATTTCCCTAATTCCTGGTAAATGCTCGTCTGCCTCGTGTCGTGTCACTCCCCCATCCCCATCCTCGTCCTTCCTAACGAAATAATTGGACCGCTGCTCCGCGCGCGCCGGCCGCCTCCGTGCCGGCCGGCATGCTGGTACACCGTGGTACACTGGGGCCCAAGTTCCACGCGCCGGCCGGCATGCTGGTACACTGGAGCCGAGCTCCTCACGCGTCACCGCGTGCTGCCGGCGAGTCCTTGCCCTGCGGCCGGCCGGCTGGGTTGCATTTCCTGTCGGCGACCTCCACGGCCCACCGGGTCAGTCGGGTCAGCCGGTCGGTCCTTGCGGCTGACTGCGAGGCTGTGTGACTCACGCCGTGCGGTCTAACTGTCTAACTGGATGACGCTGCGGCGCGGCGGCGCGGCCCGTCCGTCAGGAAGTCCTCTCATTAAGACCCGCCCTTGCCCCTTGGACGCGCCCCGCCCACACTCGCGGAAAGTAGACTTGTTATGATGGTGGCAGCAGAGCCTCGATCGGTGCAGTCGATGGCGTCCGGTTTCCAGACTCTGAGGCTAACCCTGTTCTTGTTGTCGCGCAGGTTCCGAGGCCATCCGTTGCTACACCTGCAGCTCCGACCACGACCCCCGCTGCGCTGATCCCATGGAGAAGACGATGCTGCCCACCGAGTGCACCGTCGAGCAGGTGAAGCGCGCCGCGCGCCAGATGGCCAACGTGCTGGGCGCCTCGGCTGGCCTGGGCGTGGACGCGTTCGGCGAGCGGTACGCGCAGTACGGCGGCGGCCAGTCCACCATGGGCTGCCAGAAGATCGACGTGTTCGGTAAGTGCCTCCATCGCGACCCGCCCTAACTTGACTTGAAGTAGCTTAGACGACAAACGATCCTTTTGGATGTCCTTTTGACTTTTTACTGACCCGCCTCTTCCCGCAGTGACCAACGCGCTGTCGCGGCGACAGAACACCACGATCCGCGGCTGCGTGCTGATGCCCGAGAACCCCGAGGAGCACTGCCGCCGCGTCAGCCAGGCCATGCAGTCCGAGCTGGTGCAGAACACCTTCTGCGGGGCCTGCACGGCGGAGGGATGCAACGGCGCCACGGGGCTGTCCGTCACCCTGTTCGCCCTGGTGCCCGTCGCCCTCACTGTCCTGCTCGCCGGCCGCCAGTAGGCCAGCCACCAGCCACTCCACCGCGAGGCGCTGAGGCCAGCCCGCCGTAGTCCGCCGGCCGGCCAGACGGCCAAACCCGATAGCCAGCCCGTCAATCCGTGGCCGCCGGACCTTGTCCAACTACCATGGCGGTGTGCGCCTTGTTCTTCTAGCGCGCCGCATCCCAGCTCCGTCTCCTCTTCGCGCTGATCATAAAAACACGATGCAGAACAGTCGCGAACGTGCAGAGCTCTCGCGACGCCCAGGCCGCGCCGCTGCAGCGTGGGGCGAGGCGGGGTGAGGTGGGGCGGGGTGCGGTGAGGCGGGGCACTGCTCGACCGGTGCAGCGGGGGCCTTCACCCTCTCCTCTCGCGCCGAGCAGGCCGAGCAGGCCGAGCAAGGCGCCACCCACTTAACGGCCTCCGGATAAATGGAAACACGGTGGGCGGGCATCGGGCCGCTATACCGTTCCTCATTCAAACCAATGTGTGATAGCTTTCGGTGTCGTACGGCACCAGGACCTCTGTCTGCCCGATCGGTGACGGTACCCCCTGGGTAGGACTAACGAATGACCAATTCATTTTGGTCAATATACAAAGAGAAGGCTGCATCCCGGGCGAGCGCCTGCGAAGTCAAGCGTAGGCATGCCTGCAGGACACCCGTGTTGAGCGGGCTAGCCTACCCCACGGATGTCAGGCGCTTTCGCTATGTTTCCCAAAACGACATCCTCCTCTTTCTTTCTGTTCTGCCTGGGATTACCTTAGGTCCTCAGTGTAGATAGACGTCCTGGTATTGTGTCACTCTACATTGCTTGTCCCAACGAATGTACAATCTTCACGAAATATTTGATCGCTTTCAATCAGCGCAAGGCATTATTCTCGAACCCATCCAGAGCCACAACTAGTAATGATAAATCAATGTTTTAACTAATGCCCGTGAGTGTCGTCGTTGCCTGTGATAAAGCTTGCATTTCATTGGGTGACTTTTGAAAGTATGTGTAGAGATCGTGTAATCCACTCTTGCTAGTCAGATTGGGACACAAAATTTTTAAATATTAAAATGAATACAAAAGTTACAGCTGCACATTCTAGAAGTTGAATCTGCACACCGTTTCTTCTTGAATTCCGTCCAATAACCATAATCAGATCAAATTTCTATGTCTATACTTCCCCGATTTTACTCGCATTTTGGAAATGGGGTCCCAGAAACTACAGAAGTAATAAATCAGAACTTGAATCAATTTTTTTGTTGTTGTTTAGGATTTAGTAGAAAACTAGGCCATTGAACCAATTAATTTATGCATTTTGTATGAAATGCCAACTTTCTCGTCTTTTAGTTTTTGTATCGTAGGGTTATTTATGTTCTTCTACATTTGTAATTTGTTTAGAAACCACGGTCATTGCTTTAATAGCAAAAATGTTTGTGTGAATTTTTGTACTCGTCTACTGTGTTTGCTGTTCTCAAAAGTACAAGGCATCATCTTAGAAATAAAGTAAAAATGAAAACCCAGAGAAGTTATGTTTTCAATGATCTGTATTGTACAATACTAAGCTCAACAAAAATCAAAACAAAGAAAAAACAAACAGATTGGAAATGACCTACAGCAAACCAAGATAAGCAAAAACAAAAAGAAAAGGATTACATTTCTCAAAAAAATTAATTTCTTCAACATAGTTATCATGTTCAAAGAAATGCACCATAAAATTCATGCAACAGCTATGATACACCATAATACCACTATGACTAGAATGCTTGACTCAGTCTTTGCAAGTATGAAAAGCCCAGACTCCACTGCAAATTAATCCTGGTGCGCTTTCAAAACATAAACGCACTGACTAAGATCGATTAGGACAGAAGAGATTCCTTTCTTCTGTGCTCTAACAAAGCTTGAAGATGTGAAATTTGGTCCTCAGCAGCCCTCTGCCTCGCTTTTGCAACCTTCACAACATCCTCTTTCTTGGCTATGGCCAATTTTACCCTGAAAAACAGAAGAAAAATTTTAAATGAATAAAAATACTGCATCGTTATGTCTGTTCAGGGCTTGCTCTCAAACATGTACTTGATCAACACACAGTAGCCCAGGAAACTATATATCATACCGATCAAATAACTGTTGCAATTCTTGTTGATGTGTCTGCCTCTCACGTTCCGATTGCTCAGCAAGTATTTGCAGTTGTTGTTGATGCCTGGAGTGCTGCTCAGATAGTTGTTGTCTAAGAGCCTCCATATCACTGCTGAGTTCAGCTTGCAACACCTGCTTTAAATCTGCTCTCTCGGCAGATAACTGATCCGCTATCTGCACAGGTAAACATTTTATTATTATTATTATTTGTTTTTTTTAAAGTTCTCATAAATAGGTTTTTTTTGGTTTCTTGACTTGCCTTCCGTGTTTCTACACACTGGGTGTGCAAACTGCGATTAAGGGCTTCTGAACTAACAAGTTTGTCTTCTCTGTCTTGCAGCTGAGCTCTTAATTCCGCATGCTTTTCTTTGAGTGTGTTCAGGGATAACTCAACATCTCTTAGCTCAGCTGTCAATTGTTCACGAACTCGCCTGCACAGTTAGAGGTTTCTTTAATGAATTACATGAGTACCGCATAGGCTCTCTAATGGAAAAACGATTTAATAATTACCTCAGTCGGTTCTCAGCAGCTTTCTCTCTTTCCTCTCGTGAGATAGTAGCTTCACTCTCCAGTCTTTCAATTACCACCTCAATTTCTCGATCCCTCTCCCTCTTTAACTGATCTCGAATTTCATTGGTCGTCTGTGAAAGAGTTTGCTTCTGCTGCTGCTGATATGTCTCCGCCCATGCCTCTTTTTCTGCTTTGAGCGATTCACGAAACTGGAGCATTTCATTCTAAAAAAAATGATATGAAATGCCTAAGAAAGAAACATACAGAGAAAATTCTATCAACTACACAGACAGTTACAACAACACATACCTGCTGCTTCCGATGCATCTCATTGAGTTTATCAGCGTAGTCTCGGCGAATGCGCTCTCTTTCTTGTTCTACTTCTCTCTCCAGAGCTCGCTTTCTTTCCTCAAATTGCACTTCAAGCCTTGATTCCAAGGTAGCAAGTCTATCTTGCTCACGACGAACCTCAGCAACTAGGCGGCGGCGCTGCTCTGCACCCTCCTCTTCAAAAAGAAGCTGTTGCTTCTCCATTCTTCAGATTAGAAAAAAACAATACCAATTACACTACTTAACTGACAGTCAAAAATCATTTTTAAAAATATGAAAAAGAATAAAACCTCTGTCTTAACATATCTCGCTCTCTTGCAAGTGCTTCTTCTTTCTCCTGAACAAGTTGTTCCCGAAGAACTTCCATTTGTTGCGCTGCTCGTCGAGCAGCGCGGACTTCCATTTGTTCTAGTTCCTGAGCATGCAAGGTTCGTAGAGCTGACATTTCTTGCTCATGCTGGCTGTTCAGTCGAGTAAGTTCTGGTTCTAATCCTCGAACAGTTAATTCCTGCAAACAATTTGAGGGTATGAAATAAGTTGAATACACAATATGAATTTTAAAAAGTTAATTTGCATAAAAAATTTACCTTGATTTTTTGTGTTTTATTTTCAACCCAACGTTCTCGTTTCAATTTTTCTGTTGCTGCTGTTATGTCTTTAATCCTTTGCATCTCAACCTTATGCTTGTCCTCCACGTTAGAAAGTGCTTTGACATGCTTTTCTTCGGTCTCTTTAGCTTCAAGCACTAACGATTCACAACGTTTGCTTAGAGATGCTTTATCAGCAATCAACTAGAAATTCATAAGTGATATGATTACAACTTTTATTAAGTAATTGTTATTGCCAATCACTAGCCACTTCCTTTACCTGATCAATAAACTTCTGATGCCTCTTGATTACTGCTTCACACTCAGCCTTCACTTGACGCATCTGGTTCTCAAGTTCTGACTTATGAGCAGCATTTTGCCTTGCTTGAGAGTCTTTTTGTTCCCGAAGTGCGGTGCGCAGCAAATTTATCGTTGCATCTCTATCTTCTAAGGCCAGTCTCAGTGAGACAATCTCTTGGGCCAATTCAGAACGTCCCATCATTAACAGTTCCTCTAAACTAAAAGGTTGGTTCAAAGCAGTCAAGATTGAAACGAAAACAGATTGTTAAAACACATTACAGTACTGGTTGAGGACCATTCTTACTTGTGGGGATCTTCTGATGCACTAGGTGGAGAAGGAGAAGCTCTTGGACTAGGTGTGATCTTTGGTTGAAGAACTGAAGAGCAACTCTGATCCACAGCATCAAGAAATGTCAGAAGATCTCTATATGGAAAAAAAAAAGAAAAAACAATAATTTCAATTGTACATCAATCAAATAGGATTTCAGAGCATGCAGTTAAAAATAGTATTGCATTGTTGAGGTTGCAAAAAAGTTTGCAGAATCCCATGAGGAAACCCTTGAAGCCAAAATTATTTATGTGGTATTACAAACCTTAATTCTCCTTGGACAGACGGCTGTTGTTTTTGGCTCACTTCACCAACACATGCAGCAGAATTCTGAGGTTTGCTTGAAGGATCAACTTTTGTGGTGAGTTTTAACTCAGAATGTACTCCAGCATTAATTCCATCAACACAGGGTGAAGATCTTGAATATTCAAATTCTCTCTGATTTACTGCACTTGATGCATTGTCACTCTCTGCAGTTGAAATAAGAGTTCCAAGCAGTGATGGTGTCTCACTTGGTGTCTTTAACTCACTTCTTTTGTTGAGTATTTTCATCACTGAGGTAATAAGATAAAACGTAATGCATAATTCAGAAAAAAATTACACTCAGAAAGATTTAAAATACAACTCACAAGAACTTTCATCTTCCTTTTCTTCAAGCACCCTCAATATTGTCATAATTTCATTGTATGGAGACTCTACATCCTTCTCTCCTTCACAAATCTCATTCTGCAAATTACTGCAAGGTCTGGTACTGTCTTCAAGCTCATCAGAACACATTGCCATCCATGAGAGTAATTCAGGTTGACTTTCTCCAGGTAAGACCTCTTCTTTGGGTTGACTTAAACTGCGATGGCTCAGAGGACCTTTGCCGCAACGCCTTCCAACTGAGTTCTAGCATTTAAAATTTTGAAAAGAAAAAAGAAATTAGAACAAAAATTTTAACAGAACAAAAAATTACAGTGTACAGAAAATATTTCAGTTTCAAATGGAACTTACTATCTTGGTTTCATTTTTCCTCTTTGATCCAAGTGTTACCTGATGGTTCTGTTCCTTTTTGCTATCATTCTTTGGACTATGAATTTTTTTTTCAGAGAAAGAATTAGATTTTGTTGGTTTTTTGTCAATGGATTGTTCTTCTTTGAAAATACTTGAGGTAGTTTTCCCACACTTTTCTCCAGAATCAATGTTAGTCAATGGCTTGGTAGCCACACGAAGGTTCATTGTACCGTCAGTGTGCCCTGCTGCAAGTTTAGTGGGCTCTAATATAGCAGAGTGATCACATATATTGCTAGCATCTGAATCACTTCTAAACTTAGAATCTTGTTCTGATTTCATTACATTTGTAGTAGTAGAGCATAGAGTTTCACTATCACCTTTCAAGACAATATGGGATTCAAAATTTGAAGCTGTTTTAGTGGCATTACTTTCAGTTTCAGATGGGCACTTTACAGGTTTCTCTTTGAATCTTGAAGAATCGTACATCTTGGAATATTCAGAATCGGTGTAGACTTCTTCAACAGTGCAATCAAGATCCACAGATTTTTTATCACCAAGAGGATGAGAGGAACGAACATTACAAAAGAATGGAGATGTCACAGTTGCACTATTTGAAACATTTCCACTACTTTTTTGAGCATCTGTCACCCATTGCTGAAATCGTACAGGTGCTAAATCTTCTTTCCGCCAACTAATAGGATTATCATTTTCATGGCTGGTATGGCCAAGAAAAAGTGAGGAAGTGGTAACATCTCTGCCTCTTCTCTGTGAGTTGACACCACTATTACTGCAGCTTGAATCACCCTCAAATGAATCCACATCATGTTCTTTTGGAAAGCTTATTTGGTCAATACAAGTAGAATTCATACCTTCCTGAAAGAAATCTTGGTGTTCATTCCAAAACTCACTAGGTCCTGGTTCTGAAATAAGGATATCAGGGTGCAGAGGGCGTCCCATTCCAATTCTTCCCTGCAGCTCAGTCTTCTGCTGAGATGGGTCTGGATTGGTGTCTGCATGACAACTGTATTCAGATTTAAACCTAGATGAGTCATTGCTTTTTGGCTCATATGCTGCTGACTGTTGAGGAGAAACAGAAATAAGGCCAGACTCCACCATTCTGAGGTGCAATTCTTTTGTTGACAACTTTCTTGGGTCATCACCATTCATGTATTTTTCCAATTGAATCCCATCTGAAATTTCCTCATGCACCGATTTAGGGGCACATGATGGCCTATCTTGCTGCACATGGTCCCGGGCCATGGCCTGGATACGCTCACCCAAGCTCTTTTCAGATCTGGGACGTTCATCTGATGCATCACTGTAACACAGCAAATCTGAGCCATTGTCTGTAGATGAGGGTGGAGGTGCACTGGACTGCCCCAAATAGAGTCCTCTCCTTTCTAGCTCCATCCATGCTCCACCCAATTGATCAGATAACTGAGAGCTAACCAGTGTTGAGGATGAAAATTCTATGTCTCCATCAGTCTCAGTATCTAAACATTAAAAGAAATAACAATATTTTTAAACATCATGTAAAAAATAAAAATAAAGAATAAGTCAGTTTTGAGGCAGGAATTTTCAGTTGAGAAAAGGAAAACCAAATTCCTTACCATGATGGGACAATCCAATAGGGTCTATTGACATAGAAAAACGGGCAGAAAGTTTATTTCGTTTTTGCTGACATGATGAAAGTAACATCTGACTATCAGCAGAGTACGGTCTCCGCTTGTCACGAGTGATTTCCTTCAAAATTTCAAAAAAAAAGAAGCAATTTTTTAGTTGTTTTTGTTAAAAACTTAATTGAGTTGCATGAATAAAGAAAAAGCACATACTGTGAATGACAAGGCTGGGACAGCAGACATTGGCCTTCTGACTCTTGGACCAGAAACACTGAGGGCCCGAAAACTTGCTTTCCCTACCACAGAGCGAGATCTTGATACTAGGCTGACCTAAAACAAGAACGACAAAAATTACCATGTGATTATTGAAGCCTTGAAATGGATAAGGAGTCAACAATACAAACAACTTCTTGCATACATTTCAGATTTCTGAATGTCACACAATTGTTGTTTTGCCTTTATAAAATTTTTCGGTCAGTGGTAAATTTCTCTGCATTTTGAATTAAGAAAGATACATATATAAATTTAATGGACCATGTAGTGTAAAATATTACCTGCGATCCACTCAGACTGAGGTCTGACCCCTCTCCTTCTTTCGACAACTTTCCACATTTTGGAAGGTCTCTATCATTCTGGGACAGACTCCTCATTACGAATGTAGAAGCCCTGCTTCAAATGGAAAGTAAAACCAGTCAGTCCGCAGCACCGAATACCTACGGCACCGATTTTTATTGCAGTCTCTCCTTGCGCTCAAAATCACACAGACCGCTGCCCCGACATTTGTTTACAAACTCGAACTCAGCGCCCCTGGTGGTCATTCCCGGAACTGGGCATTGTCAAAAAGCCGCCAAATTCAAACCGAACGGGTAGATTTGCGGCCAAGTGTCTCAAGGTGTCGATAGACAATGGCAATCGAATTAAGAAAAGGGATGATTGATCTTCTGAATACAGGAATATATGATATCTAAAAGAAACAATCAAGCGAAACGCTGTCAAAATTCAGAACTAAAAAAAATTAGAGTTAATACTTAAAACAGTCACACGGGCATACCTGCACAGGGTGCGATAAAGAGAAGTAATTTCACTAAGCTGAGCGTCGTTTCTCTAGAGGTTGTGCCCAAAACATGATGCTGTGATTTCCCACAGGGAAACATAACCTCACTTGCTGCAAGCGGCACGTCATTGTGAGGATAGAAACGAATGGCAGCCGAATAAAATAGGCTGAGAATGAAAGAACACATATTCATCACGAGTAAGAGAAGACTAATTGAAGATGACATTTCAAAGTTGCTTAATGCAGATAATCAGAAAAACAACAGCTGATTGCTTCGAGCCTCGTTTGTTTTTCGCCAGGCACTGCGCACCGCGAAAGTCCCACAAGCGGAAGAACACGGCCTTCGTGGAGTAAAGTTGCTGTCTTTGAAAAGTCTTCTGCGAAGCTATTTAATTTTCCTTGATGTCTTTTCACCTGTCAAATATTTTTCTCTGTCGAAATTCTCTCAACTAATGGTTGCTTACTTTCATTCGAGCACTTTTTTGTTTCCACGCTAGTGCGTACTATCTTTCGTCGTGGAAGGATACGGATAAAGAAGGTGAATCGACTGATAGGAGAGGTAGCCATCTTGTATGAACAAAGCTTTAGTTGAACACAATTCAGACAAAAATATTCGTTACTATTCGCATTGTGTCTTCATTCTGTAGATTTGGACTATGTCAGAATTATTGTACCACACGTTAACTTAGCCATGGCCGCGACGAGAAAGCTCCAAGGTAAGAGGAAAGGTCTTAAAAGATGAGAAATACATGACCTCTCTCCGACCTGTTTACAGTTTGTGTACAGTTAATGAGAGGCAACTATCAATTAAAATGAAACCCAAAACTGCCGGTTAGAGTCGTAATGAATAACTCTTTTCTAAGCTACTATTAAACTTTGCCCCAATAACCCTCAAACTTGTGTGTGGTCACACAGACTCTTTCAACTCACCACAACAACACAGATGAAAGCTCAGCCTAGGCCTAACGGTCTGCTCATAATTTAACAAATTTCCTTGTCCTTTCTCCAAGTGGAACCTCCTTTCAATGTTTCAGGCTTTAAAATTTCCTCGCCTGAATGGTTTACATCTAACTGCTCACCATCTCAGGGCTATGACAGCTTCTGTGGTCTATGATGCCATTGTGTTTTCTTTCTTTTTCCTGGAAGGCAGTACCATTTTTACAATTTTCGTAGGATCATGACCCATTCCTGGTCTTAAATCAGTTTGCCATTATCCTGATAGACTCCAGTTTCGAAGAAAACTCCCATTATTCACGGTTGCTTGCAGTCTTAAAGTGAGGTTAGGTGTCCAATTGTTAACATCCTGCTGCATCTTCTAATCTTTGAATGTGTCCCTTTCTCAATGAAACACTCCTTGATTCGTGTCTTAAAGAGTGATTCCTATTCTTTCACGCCTTGCCTCCGAATATGCACCTTTGGCTTCGAGAGGTAAAATATTTGTGTGAATATGCTCTGCTGGCATTGGGCAATCTCTCTCTAGGTTCATGTCACTCTCATAAACTGATCCATTTTTTGCAAAGTGCATTACTCATGTTTGTTTGATGGGTTTTATCCTTGCCTCTAGCAGTTTTAATTTATGCCCGTGCATCATTCAAAGGATCAGATCACTGAATAATGTTATGCTGAAATGCGTGTCTATGGCAATGTTCTTATGTGTGTTCATTGCCTCGTTTTCCAGGTGAAATAGACCGGTGTCATAAGAAAGTCGCAGAAGGCGTAGAAACGTTTGAAGACATCTGGCACAAAGTTCACAATGCCACAAACAGTAACCAAAAGGAGAAATATGAGGCTGATCTCAAGAAGGAGATTAAAAAGTTGCAGAGGTTACGGGATCAGCTTAAAGTGTGGATTGCTTCTCCGGATATCAAGGACAAGGGACCGCTCATTGAAGACCGAAAGTGGATAGAAACTGTAAGTTATTGTGAGATCTTGTTGGGCCTTAATTTCAGACAGAAATTTTCACATTTTCTACTGTTTTTCTATTTCCTCTTAGCAAATGGAGAGGTTTAAAGTAGTGGAGCGGGAAACAAAAACCAAAGCTTACTCCAAAGAGGGTCTCGGAGCTGCACAAAAACTGGATCCAGCGCAGAAGGAACGCGAGGAGATCAGCTGCTGGCTAGTCACATCCATCGACGCGCTCAATATTCAGGCAAGTCATCAAATGAGTTTAGTGACAGTTTGATGGGTTTTATCCTTGCCTCTTGCAGTTTTAATTTATGCCCGTGCATCATTCAAATGATCAGATCACTGAATAATGTTATGCTGAAATGCTTGTCTATGGCAATGTTCTTATGTGTGTTCATTGATAGAGTGTTTGCTAAGTAATTAATTGATTTCTCCCCTAACAGTTGGACCAATTTGAGTCAGAAATCGAGTCCCTCCTTGCGGGCAAGAAGAAGAGGTTAGATAAAGACAAGCAAGATCGTATGGATGAGCTGAAAGGAAAGTTAGAGAAACATCGTTTCCATATCCGGAAGCTGGAGACACTTCTAAGGATGTTGGATAATACTGCAGTGGAAGTAGGGCAGGTAATTTTAAAAAAAGAATCCTTTCTTTGTTGATTTTGAGACTTAAGTTGTCAGTAGAGTTAAAATATTTTTCTTCTATATTTTCAGATAAGAAAAATTAAAGATGATGTGGAGTATTACATTGAAGCCTCGCAAGAGCCAGACTTTGAAGAAAATGAGTTTATCTATGATGACATCATTGGTCTTGATGAGATAGAACTTTCTGGTGTAGGTCTTCCCTCATCTGCAACAACAGACAGTAATAACAGCAACGATACGGGTGGAACACCTACATCTACAAGATCAGGTGGATCACCCTCTACTTCCCCGATACAAAATCTCAACCATTCCAGTGAGAGCCCTACCCTTGATGCTGAAAAGAAGAAGAGAGATGAACAAATGGCCAAAGTTAGTGTAAGTATGCTCGGTGTTTTTTCATTCTCACTTTGGTTTAAGGCTTCTTGTGTCTTCTCACTCACAACTGTGTTTTCATATTTAGCCTGTGAAACCAACGGCAGTGAGAGCCAGCCAGCAAAATTCCCTTATAAACACTTCTGGCCTTCCTGGCATCAAACCTGTAATGGTTACGCCAAGCAAAACAAGTACAGGGGTGGCACATTCAACTCCAAACAATAGCTCTCCAAGCTCACTATTGAATCATTCTGTGGGTAATTTTGCTGCTGTAGCAGCAGCAAATAGCCATCCTGCACCTCCTACCACTCCAACTTCCAATAATTCGAACAATATCACCAGCAGTAAATCAAGTAAGTACAGTTTGACTATCTTGTGGGTGAAACTTACTTAAACACGGCCCTATATTTTTTTAAAATGATCATTTCCTTGTTTCCTCTGCAGCACATAGTACAGAAAATGGAACCATACCAGTTTCATCACCTCACAGCCAACCTCCAAGCTTAAGTACCACAGTTGGATCATCGAGTAATCAACAGCAGCTACACCATCCAGCTCCCCAACTCTCATTGGTTGACACAAGACCGTTAGGTGCTGTGGGTAGCGGAAGCAGTACCAGCAATGTTAGCAGTACGAGCACAAGCAATCCCCCGCCTCACTTACAACAGGCATCTGCAGGTTCAACTCCTCCCCCTGCTGTTTCCTCCAATAATCAACTGTCATCCATTGTTGGCAGCAAACAGTTAAGAATGCAGGTGAGTTAAAGGGTCGATCACTGTGTTGTTTCCCATAATCTAAAATCAATCATCTCAATTTCTTTTCACATATATACAATTTTTAAACACACTCTTTCATTTTTAGGGGCTCCAAGGGCTCCAGGGATTGGTCAATTCTATGGATCATCACCAGTACAATAATTCAACTGTAAATTGCTCATCGCCTCCATCTCCTGTGAGCAGTGCAGCTTCACCACTACCAACCTTAGGTGCATCAGCTGCGTCATTAGCCACAGCTTCATCAGCTGGGCCAATAGCCTTGGTGTCACCATCACCTGTAACCTCAGTACCCACGTCTGGACTTAGCACGTCATCAGTGACGGCATTGCCCACATCAACGCCAGTTCAAACACAGCAGCAGTCAGGCCAACCCCAGCCTGTTCCTCAGCCCCAACTACCCCTTCAGCTACAGTCGCAACCACTAAGCCAGCAGCAACAGCTGCCACAACAGCAGCCAGCGCAGCAACCCACATTAAATGGACCGAATGTTGGTGATGTTGCCGGACTGTCTTCACTTAAAAGTATTGCACAGCAAGCTATTGATAGAGCAGGTCTTGAGGTTCCTCCTCCAGAGACAAATAGAAGTAAGATTTATTTGATGTTCATGGCACAAGATGTTGGATGATCTGTTTATTATTAGCTTTTATTAACATTCTGTTATTTTCATCAGGCTTGTTGGAGTCCAAGATGATGATGCCTGTAACTACAGAAGCTCATATTCCTCCATTATTGGGAGTAGCACCTTTAGGCCCTGTCCCTCTTCAGAAAGAGCACCAACGTCAGTTCCAGATGCTTGACGCTGCATTTTATCATTTGCCATTACCATCTGATTCAGAGAAGTTACGATCTTACCTTGCAAGAACTCCATGTCCGTCACCACCGTATTATCCTCAGGTAAGCTCTCATTAAAATTTGTATTTGTAATTTTTGAAGAACTTTCATTTTCTTAACTCGTTGTTTATTAATAAATCTTTTTCCCTCCTTAGGTTCCTTTGCCTGATACAGATTCCCTAGAGTTCTATCAGCGGCTGGGGAACGAAACACTTTTCTTCATATTCTATTATATGGAGGGGACCAAGGCTCAGTACCTTGCAGCCAAGGCCCTGAAAAAGCAAAGTTGGAGATTCCATACAAAGTTAATGCATTGGTATCAGCGCCATGAAGAGCCAAGAGTTATCAATGATGAATATGAACAGGTGAGCACTGGTTTATGGTTTTGGTCTGCTCAACTTTTCTTCCTTTTTGAATTGGATGTTTCTAGGTGTTTGGCAATTTCTCCACATTCAAGTAACAACTACATTTCTTCTTTCTAGGGCTCCTACATATTCTTTGACTTTGATAATTGGATCCAGCGCAGGAGAGAAGGGTTCACATTTGAATACAAGTACTTAGAAGACAGGGACCTGAACTGATGCGATAAGGCTGACTCAACATGCTCCAGAAGATCCTTCACTGCTGAATAATGAATGTATTGCCAATGTTCTTTTTCCAAGACGGATAAGTCCGCAAGTGATATTGTATAGATTTTTTTTAATCTCACTTCTGGCTTGGATGGGGAAAATCCCTGTGTAAAATCTCCGGAAGATAAAAGGGAATATGACATTGTGTTGAACACAGGCTAATATTTGTTTTGTTTGTTCCTCATGGTGACAATTAATTGTCCAATGTGTGGTGCTGTGTAAAGCTGTGCTCTCGAGGTGAATCACTGTGTGTTACTGCCGTTCAGCAACATTGTTGCTGGGGCCTAAAATGAAATGTGATATTTTATGTTCAAACATTATCATGGTGTAGTATCAGAACTTCATCCTGGACTGGAAGAATTCTCTTTTTTGAGTTACATCAACTTAAATGCATGCCTTGCTTCTTTAAAAGACAATATACTATTTCATTTCTTCATTCACTTAAGCTTGGCATGGACTACCAACTGAAGGCTACCTGCAAATTGTTTAATGCACAGCCTCCTGTTGTGTAGTTGCATGTAAAGAAAATGTCTTCATTGGAATTTCGTTTCTTTCATGGTGCTGCTGACTCAGAATAATATCATTTGGTACTCTTGGTTGGTTCGCTCAAAGAAAATTAAAGTTTGTGTTTTGAGACCTCATTCAATTCTTAGGACTCTGGTTTATCATAGATAGGCCAATGCATTTTTTGTCATCTGTATTCAAACTAAACCCTTTATTTTGCTTTGCGTTAACTCTAAAAATTATTTGTCCTGATTCAATCTTGTGGGCTAGTGCTGCTGTGTCTGTCACTGTGGCTAATTCTCTTTCAACACCACCATGGAATATTTTTTAATTTGCATGCTGTCAAGGTAATTTTGAAAACCAGTAATTTAGTTATTTAGTTTTCATGTAACTAGGAGTGTTATTTTTTAATGCTACCAACATTTGAGTACTGTGGAGCAATTTGTGGACTTCCAAGCATTTATGTTGGAGTTAAAAGCATTGCAATATCTTTGTCCTGTTCATGATCTCAATTTTTTTTTCTGATTTCAAACTGCAGAAGAATTTTTTTGAAATCGTGCTGTGTTTTTGTATCCTGCTGCTTGCAGTTCTACTTCATATTATTTTTGTTTTTAATTTAATTTTGTAGTTCATTCTTGTAGAAAGAAGCATAGATCTTGAGTTTTCTTTCATCTGGCTATTTTGTGTTTGTCTTTTCTCCTTTTTTTTTCTCTTTTTTTCTTTTTTTTTCTTTAAATTTGAAATGAATTCTTTAGGAATGTTCATTGACCCCCAGTGACAGCTTTTGGGACAATGAAGGACAGTCACCTTTGCCTCTCACCACGTTAACTGTGTTGTTTGTATTAAGTACCCGTACTGTATGTAAAGTTACCTTTCAGCACTATATGCAGCTTAGTACCGTTTTAAGGTACTAAGTGCTGCATATTGCTGAATTTAACTGTGGTAGCTTAAACCATAAAGCCCATTTATCTGATGTATGTCTACAATTTTGTTGTGAGCACCGTTTTATGGTGCTTGCATTCAACTTACCTGATGTAGAAGACACTCAGAAAAGATGGGATTATTTTGTGAACAGTTCTGTATAGTATTATTTTACAGTCTGTGCATTTTGGTTACGGATGGTTCAAGAATGTAAGAGCTCTTATTTACTAAATCCCTGTGCAAGTCCCATTCTTAAGGGCCTTAAAATGTCCTGAATGGTTCCAGCAGGAGAACACACAACGCTCACTGTCAAAATTTGAACAATTGTATAGTTATTGTATGGCGTGGTGGGCGGCACCTCTCTCAGTGGTTCACCTCAAAGGGAAGTATACAAAAAGCACCAGGCAGCAGACAGTGAAAAACAACCAGTACAAAAAGATAATATTTGTGGGGCATGACGGACTCCCCCTTGCACATCTCTTTTGCTTATTTTGTTGTGTTCATTTTCATTTTTGTAAAAACTGTTTGAAAATAATGATTATGATAAATGAAATACTCTGTACAGTACTGTTTGTGTAGAAATTCGATTTGATATTTCAAAGGAAATTTTAAAATTTTATTGGATTTGTATAATTTGTATTATGGTTGAATATAGATGTGCAAGTTGGTAGTCCGTTTTGGATGGCGTTGCGCCAGATGCTCCTTTGTGTCAAGCATTCTTGAATGCTATCAGGGAATTTCGTAACAAAAGAATAAAATCATATTTTAAAAAATGCTAACTTATTTCCTTTTTGTAAGGGAAGAGAGTAGTTAATGTTATGAAAAAAAATCATAATAAAAACATCAAAATGATAAACACTTATGAATATTTCTTGTCAACCTTTCCTGTCTGGGTCATTGTCGCAAAAAACAGCAACTATCCCCTGCAATAGAACAAGTTTATTTTTGCAAATTCAAAGTTACTCCTTATTGTTAGACCAAATAAAGGTCATACCATTATAAAACAAATACCCTTAAAAACAAAAGCGGGAGATTCTCAAGACAGATAAATCAATCATCGCGAACTAAAACTATCGAGATCAATTTGAAGTGTCACAGTGTCGCATATGGTGCAGTTCGCAGAAAAAGCACGCGCTCTTGGCGGAAGCAGCGTCGTGACGGCGTCAAATGGGTTGCCTACCCCTCGGGCGGGAGCCCCTTGCCCCTGATCGGGTAACGCGTAGGCAACCCAACAAGCTCATGTTCACGGCTGCAGTGTGCAGACGCCAAACCGGCTCGCTCTTGAAGTGCGGTGATGGCGAGGCGAGCCTGAGCCTCTGAAAGTCGGTGGAGCCAAGCCAAGCCGGGCCAAGCCGGACCGGTGGAGCGCTCGCAGACTGGATGGATAGGCGCCGTTCAGCGGCAAATGCACAGCCCTCGCTCGCAGGACCCTCCTCTGCGCCACTGGCTGCGGCACTTTCTGGTGCAGGCGGCAGACTCACACGTCAGCAGCAGCGGCTGCAGCACGTTGGCGGCGGCATGCCCTGCACCGGCATCACGCACTTCTGAAACACGCCACAGTCGCGTCATTATTGAGGGCAACTGGAACTCGAGAGGAAGCGTCAGCTGCAAAAGATGATCCAGAGCTCGCCTGAGGAAAAGCGGGATTTCGAACTCACCACTGTTGTGACCGAACAAGAGCGACGCGGGCCTCGACAGGACCGCGGAGTCCGCGGACTGGTCCACGTCCACGGGCACGGCCTTGGCGAGGACGATGGCGGCGGAGACCACCAGCAGCAGCAGCACGGTGGGGGTGGCTTTCGTTTGCAGGGCCATGGCGGCGGCGGTATCGGCGAGTTGGTCCTGGACTGATTTGCCGACTGATGCCCAGGCCTTCCCTGGCGTCCCTTGATATAGGCGCCGCCCGGTGCGCAGCAGTGCTCAGGGCACTCGTCACGGCTTGTTGTTGTCCGCGTTCGCCTGTTTTCGCTACACGGAGAGCACCGCACTCATCAACAGTGGCGCGTGGCGCCGAGGCGCGTGGCCGTGGCCGTCCTCAGCGGGCTGACTGCGTCGCTCTGTCTCTGTCGCACTCGTGGAGCGTCTCGTCGGAGTGCAAGAGAGACAGAGAGAAAAGGCACTATCATCGCTCGGCATGGACTGTCCTTGTGGGCGTCCTTGCCTTTTCCCTCCCGGCTGGCAACCGGCCTTGGCCGCCAAGCCGTCGCTAAGGCCAAGGGCAGGGCGTACTTGACGGGGTGCTCGAAAGGCGAAAGTACGAGTCCGGCGAAGGGGCGGCCGGGGCCGCGGCCGTGGCCATGCCGTCCCTTCGGGGTGGGTGTGGGGGTGGGCAGGGCAGATCACGTACAACCCTGACCACGGCGCAGCACAGCGAAGACGGCCACCCTGTGTACCCTATTTCCAACAAATCGAGATGGAACCGAAGAAAGATAGCAATGTAATCAACTCAAGTAGCCGACTCACATGTTTACCGGTGTACACGTAACAAAACAACTGTGGACATTGTGGCATGACGTGTTTCGGAGGTCGGGTTCTCCCTTCGTAAACATGCACTTGAGTGGTGGCGCCCTGGGCAGGGCATGGAATCTGCAAACTGCAAGATAACAATCTTTGCAACCTTGTAGTATACGTATTTTCCGTACCAGTTTACATGAGATGCTTGTGAGAACCAGCACGAAGGGACCGCCCTTTTTACGTACTCCATTTTCCGCGCCAAACTGCGGATGTTTTTGCAGTGCGCCAGCGTGCTGCTGCGCAGCCTGCAGCGAAGCGTGGTGCGTGGTGGCGGGTTGAAAGGTCCCCGTTCGGGGCGATGCCCCTGCGAGCAACTGGCTGCAGGCGCCCTGGCCTGTCCACCGGTCCTATTCCGGCTCACATAAGTACAAATACAAAAATAATAGTAATTTTCGCAATAAATCGTGTTGAGCCGGGATGGGAATGGTGTTTCCGGTCGCCTGGCCGAACGCGGGGTAGGCAGCATCACTGCGCAAAGCACGCCACCTGGAGGCAGCGGGGGAGCGAGAGCGGTTTGCGGAGGGCGGTCCGGTCTTATCAGCAGAATGACGCGGCACTACGGCACTGCGCCACCGCACCGGGGCGGCGCCGGGGATTTTAGGGCTGGGATAGGCAGGCCGGGTAGGCCGCCCGGAAGTCTCAAGGGAAAGAGCCGTGGCGAGGATTGGTCAGCTTCGGAAAACCCTGAAGCCGTGCTGCGTAGCCACGGGGGCGTCGGGGGCGGGGCAGCAGCGGGGCGGCGGCGGGGCGGAGGGGTAGGGAGGGGAAGGGGGTCGATCCCTGGCTCGGCACGCTCCGCACTCTGCCTTGACGGACACGGCCGAGGCTGCAGCACCGTGATAAGGCCTCCATTGGCTTGATGGCGTTGGCGGCCAGCGCTTTGCTGCAGATTGGACCCACTCCGCCCGGCTGCAGCGCCAACGTCCGGACCGTCCGGTGGCCCACCTCCCGCTCCAGCCGCTCCAGCACAGCCAAGTGTCCAGTGAAGTTTCCAGTGGAGTTTCCAGTGGAGTGTCCAGTGAAGTGTCCAGTGGAGTGTCCTGTGAAGTGTCCAGTGAAGTGTCAAGTGAAGTGTCCAGTGAAGTGTCCAGTGAGGTGCCGCTGAAGGCGTAAACCACCGTGTCCGCGCCCAACACGCTGGAGCCCAGGATGCGCTTGCTGGCGGTACTGGTGTCGCTGGCGTCGCTGCAGATGGCGGAGCAGCGAGTCCTCGACGAGGAGCCGTCGCCGTCCTCCACCAGGACGCCGACGATCGTGGACCCCGTCCAGGGCCTCGACGTCCTCGGCGGTGAGCCGCAGCCCGGCGTCATGGCCGCGTCCGCCGTGCCGCCGCCGTCCGCGCACTCAGTGGTGCTCAACGTCCGCGCCAGCGACGTGGAGGCCCTCACGCACTACCTGCGCGCGCACTACAGGAGAATGTGGCTCCGTAAGTACAACACTGTGCATACCATTGGGCCCAGTGGCTTGCAAATATCACTGAGGGTCGCGTGAAAAATAAAAATTACCTGGGAAAACAGGGAGGGTTAACTTGAATTCTTTTCAATGAAATTGTATTGTGTAAAAAAGAGATAACTCGAATTTTTTCAAGGATCGTGTGTCTAGTAAACAAAGAGAGTTTACGCGATTATCTGGCTCGTGGCACTAAATTGTACAGAGAGTGACTTCGCTTTGTAATTGTCTTTTTAAACTACGTCGTCACAAATATAACTTTTGTAACGCTGCAAAAGTCGCGGAAACTTTCTCTGCGCGCGTGTCCAAAAACGTGCGAAATGTTGTGAAAACAGCGATATCGCGGAGGGGATTCCACACTATTCGGCGATAGAGGCGAGACACATACGCATGCCGGCGGTATCGCGATATCGCGAGCACACACATCTCGGCGGTCGGCGGGCAATGCGATAGCGATAACGGCGGTAACCATGAATCGCCACGAGCCTGACACGAGTCTCTCGAACGAGTCTTTCGACTCTCTCTCTCTCTCTCTCTCTCTCTCTCTCTCTCTCTCTCTCTCTCTCTCTCTCTCTCTCTCTCTCTCTCTCTCTCTCGCTCTCGTCTCTGGGGCAGATTCCGCCTCCGATTGCCCATTGCCCACTGATGCTGTGAGTCTGGTGGCCCCCGCCGTTTTTATCTCGACTTTTTCCGTTTCGTTTTACGATGGCTATAAAGTCTAAATCGCGTCACCGAGTACGTCGTTGCAGTTACACGCCGTATCGACTTGTGGCGCAACTCGGCCATCGGCCAAAGACAGAAATGAGCTTTTCCTTCAGTCGACTGACTGACTGACTGACTGATACACGAGCCGTCCGCAGAACGCTGACCTACATTTAATCTCGCTGCCTTCCCAAGGACGAGAAGCTAAATGCATTATGGATGGGATATACATCTCCCTCTCACTCAAAAATTCTTAAACATACATTTTAAGTGTCGAATGTCTTTAGTATCCTAAACATCTGGTGAAGTGGTCGGCGGCTGATGTCCCGTTTGTTGTTCAGGGAAGTCCCCGCTGACTCACCTCGACGCCGAGCTGGGCCCGGGGCAGTGCGACCCGGACGAGTGCTACTCCAACTGCTACCTGCAGGGCTTCCATGGCGGCAACTGCAAGGAGAACAAGTGCTTCTGCACGACGGCGCCGCCAGTGCCTCCCGTCAACCAGGATGACCCATCCACGACCTAGCCCCAAGTTTCTTTTTTTTTTTAAATTAGGTTTAAGCGTCATTATTTATTGTATTTATAATTAGGATATTTTGTAAGTGGTAGGACCTACTAGTCATATGAAAGTGAGGTGTTAGTGTGTAGGTGTCGTCGAGAGTGAGTGCGTGAGTACGTGAGTGAGTGTTGGTGCGAGTGACAGAGTGGGAGCGAGAGAAATGTATAGATCGACCTGCGAATAAAGAACTCACTTCAGTCGCATTTCACGGCGTTGTTGCTCCTGATAGTCCGTTTCCTGGTTATGAGGTTGAGGCGCGTTGGCCGGGACGCTTTTGGAGGCGACGCATTGCAACGCGTCCGCGACAGGCGGCGGCGCGATGGCTGACTCGGCCACACTACGGAACGGAGCCGGGGACCCGACCGGGCGTCGGCAGGCTCATTCCGAACGACACTTTCGTCGCTCCGTCTCTCTCGCACCCATGGGTCGTTCCGCAGGGGTGCGAGAGAGACAGAGCGACGGTGCGGGATCGGTCTGCGAGCCGCGAGCAGCGGAGCTCGGCGCCTTGACCCAATGGGCGTGGGCGGCAATGGTGGGCAATGGTACACCGTGGCGGGTACGGCCTGGTGCGCGGCCTGGTGCGCGGCCTGGTCGCACCGCGCGTCGCACCGCCACGCTACCACGGCCAGGTGCACACGGCCCGACACGGCCGCATCACGCCGCCGCGGTGGTGTCGCGGTGGCCCATCCCTCATGGCGGCTGACCTTTCAGTCCGAGCAGGCAGTGAAACATTATCAGTTTCACTGTCAGAAACACACAAAAAACCTTTATTATTTTCACTGACAGAAAACAGCAAGGAAATATTATTTTCACTAGCAGAACCAAAACAAAAACCAGTGACACTTTCCTGCTCTCCGCGCGAGACACTTTCAAGGGTCACCCTTTGAACATTCACTACCTCAGCCTCTTCGTCAAGTAAGTCATCGCAGTCCTCACTCAACTTTCCGCATGGCAGTGCGAATTTTTTTGCCGGCATCCCGTTTTGTCGACCTCAGCCTGCCTCAGCCGGCGTCCGTGTCCCCTCATCCCCCACACGGCCGTAAAACAAGGCGTCTCGCGGCGCTCGGCGCGGCCCGGTACGGCCCGGCGCAGCCCGGCGCGGCCTGCAACTGAAAATGAAGCTGAAGCCAAAGCCACTTTGGAGTAACGGACCGGCCAACACTGCAACAAGATACTGGATCTGCGCACTCCACGCGCGCGATCATCCGCCAACGCGCCGCATCGGATCCAGGATTTTCCCAAGGAGGGGTCAAGCTGATCTTTTTGCCTACTTTCAACAGGAAAGTGGTGCTTGTTGCACACCTCCCAGGCGGCCTATCTAGTACCTAAAAGGGGGGATAATCATAAACCTTTTCTAAACGGAAAGACTTGACGCTGCCAGTGGGAACGAGGATCGCAGCGGCTCTCCAAGTACCTGTGACTGACGGAACGGAACCCCTGGAACGACCATTTGGAAGGGGGATCAAGAGTGACGCGAGAGTGTCCCTCAAACAGGACGTTGTTGGGAATAAAGTCTCGACTGTTGTGCGAGCCCCCTCCCTCACGTTTGCCACGCCATTACCCTTCAGTGTGTCTCGCAGGAACAAAAGCCGCGCAATGAGAGGCGAGCGGCAGCAACAACATTAACAAGGAAACACGAAAAAACAACAACAACAACAACAACAACAACAACAACAACAACAACAACAACAAAGGACACGTATCGTCCGTCTCCGGCGGACCGAACGCCTTAATAATAATTGTGACGGTCCGTCCGGTCAAGTTTAGCTTGATGGATTTCGGCGCTGAGCAGTCCTGGCGGAGGGAGACGGCCAGATAGTCAGGCAAGACGGAGAGACAGAGAGACAGACATGCGACACGGATGCCCCGCACCGCCCCCGGACAACGCGACGCGGTGAGCCGAGCGCGCGCCATGCCGGGCAGTATGAATGCAACAACAGGCGAAAAGCACGACATAAAAAATAACCTCAACAGGCTGTTGCGCCACATCTCAGGGCAAGGTCAAGCGCGACTTTAGCCGTCGATTTGGGAGAGAAATTCGAGCATCAGGTCCAAACTATTCGGTGATAACAGCGAGACACGCATGCTCTGGTGGTATCGCGGCTTCGCACTCAACCAAAAAATGTTTCAAAGGCGAGTATTCGAACCCGGCCGCCGCCACGGCTTGGAAGGCCAGCGGTGGACGACGGCATACGGCAAGCAGGGCACGCAGCAGACCCGGGAGGCGAGGCCAGGCGAGGCCAGGCGAGGCCAGGCCGGCGGGCAGCCCGAGAGCAGCCCCTGTCCCTGTCGGCCCTGTCGGCCCTGTCGGTGGCGGTGCACCGCGGTCGCCGCGGTGGTGCCGTCGCCATGTATGGACCTCGGCCTCGGCCAGCGTGGCGTGCGTCCTGGTGCGTTCGTCTGCGTCGCGGCGCCGAAGTGACCAGTGAGCGACCAGGCGTCGTATTTCGCGTTTTACTCGAGGATCCGTGATTTACGAAGTGACTTTGGGCCGCGCTGCCGGTAGTCCGATCGACTCCGAACTCCGAGCAGTGCACTGTGTCTCTCTCGCGCCCCGGGGAGACGCCCCACGAGTGCGAGGGAGAGCGAGCGACGAAAGCGCGTTTCGGACTCCTCCGCCTCCTTCTCCACGACGGTGACATTGGCAGTGGTGCGCCCGGGCCGGGGCTGCCGGGGCGTGGCCACATAAACTCAGCCGCCTCCATGAGGCGCGAGCGACTCTCTTATTTCACGGCACCGCGTCTTGGTCTCGTCGCGTCGGCCGAGCGCCGTGCGACGCCCCGCGATCTTCGGTTGGGTCCTCGTTCCGGGGAGTAACGGCAACGGCGCGAGGAAAGTGCGCAGTATCGCCGTGCTTGAGAACGCTTTCTTCCGAACAGTTTTCATCATTTTGGTAGAGAAGTCTAGGGCGCCGCGCTGGGACTCCACACCGCACAGCCGCGCAATGCCGCCTGCCGCCTCCGTGCGCTCAGCATGGCCCTGCCCACCCACTCCGAGTGAGCCGTGGCCCTGCAGGCCCTGCAGGCCCTGCTCCAGGCGGGTGGAGGGCCGCTGGACCGTGGGGCGGGAGGGACGTCGAAGGGCGGCACTAGGGCCGCACGCCTGTCAAGAGGTGGCTAGGCAGTGCCGCCGCGCAGCCCTGCCGTGCGTGGTTGCCTAGCCCCCACTCCGCGGGCGCCCCCGCCGCGTCCGCGCCGCCCTCGCCGTCGCCGCCCCCGCCGCGGTCCTGCCCCGGCCCCCGCCGCCCCGGGCTGCAGGCTGCTGGCCCTTCGGGTCCCCCTCTTGCTCCAGATTCTCGGGCGGTGCTCGGCACGGAGGCGAAGGAAGAGGTGGCCTGTGGACTCCACCCTGCCGGGCTGCCCTGCCGGCCAGCTGCACTGTAAGAGTGGAGGGAGAGTCCCTCGTGGAGAGTCCGTGCGACCGGAAGGAGCGCGTCGGGGATGCCAGTTGATGCCAGGCAATGCGAGGCAGTGCCGCGGAGAGGGGCCGCGACGCGAGGGGACGGAGGGGCCGCGACAGTGTAATGTATGAATTTCAAACCGTCGCCCATCCTCGGGCAGGGCGGTGACGACGGCGGTGACGCCGGCCAAGGCCAAAGCTGGCCAAGGCAGAGCGGCGGACTGACTCCGCACAGCGATCCGTCGCTCTGTCTCTCTCGCACCAGCACGGACCGCCCCACGAGTGCGAGAGAGACAGCGCGTCATGCAGGGTGGGCTCGACCGCGAGCCGCGTAACGCGCGCACCGCGTCATGCGGCATGGCCGGGCATGGCCGGGCATGGCCGGAATGGAACGCCGCGTCTCGACGCCCTGCTTAAATCACCATACCACGCGGCGCCTCTCGACGGCGGCCTTCTGGGCCACGGCCTTCTCGGCCACCTCATCCTGGGAAACGAACAGACGCCGCGGACACGCCCAGCCTTCGCCGCCGCGGCAGTCCTCGCGACTTGACGACGTCTGGGTCACCGTCAACACCAAATCGAATTCATCGGAATTTAATATTCTATTCGCTAACGAGGAGGTGCCAACTTTGGACGCCGCGCACAACGGGGAGACACTATGAAGTCACCTGTTTTTCTGCGTAGCCGTGGCCGCGTGGGCGAAGCAATCGACTCGCAACGATGACACATTTTAAATCTTTTATTTTTACCCTAGCGCTCTGCTTTATGAACATAAATGATTCTTATGTAAGTCTTAGCCTCATGCACAACGCAGGCGCACACACACAAGCGCGCGTAGACACACACACACACACGGCGGACGATTGACAGCGCGTGCTGGTGGTGGCGTGGCGGCGGTGGGTTGCCGAACATTAACAGCGCCTCAACATGACAAATGAGGGCCGCGGGGGTGGCGAGGCGTGGCTGAGGCGTGGCCAAGCGAGGTCCGTGCGTCGTATCCTGGATGGGCGGCGGTCTGGGCGGCAGGCCGGCTTACCCTAGATCGCCCGAGATCAAACTTATATCACATTTTGGCGCAGAACACCGCGGTGTTGCACCTGCCGGCGCCTGCAGCAGCCCGACTGGCCCCGACTGGCGCAGGGGCGGCTATGGCCGGCAGGGAGCAGGCGGACTTGTGCAAGAAGCCGGGCTGCTTGACGTCGGCGGGGACGTCCCGTCCAACCAACACGCCGAAAGGCCGAAGGCCCCCCGCGAAGAGGCTAAGCACGGCGTGGCCGCACGCCGGACAGCGCCAAGTCGTTAAAACGGGTCGTGGGGAGGGGAGCAGGGGATGGGAGGGGAGGGACAGGGGTAGGGGTGGCGTTCCGATGAGAAAAGCCGGGCCGACGCCGGGAAACAACAACTCAATCGGAAGGTGAGCTCTCCGCTGATTATCCGGGTAATGGATGATCTCCACCGTCGCCGCCACGCCGCCACCTCCACGCCGCCACCTCCACTCCGGCGACCCGACGACGTCCGCACGATTCGCAAGCGACGCGCGCCGAAGACATACGGTGTGCATAATCGTCGGTGATGTGCCGAAATGCACGGCGGAGGTGTGATGAATGGGCTTTGGCAAATAATGTAAGCGGCCGCCGTGGGTTCGAGTACCGCTCCAGCCGCGCCGAAAAGACAAGCGCCTTCATTTTATGCTCCCTCGACCGGCCAGACCGCTGTTTATAGGTGGCTACGTCGTTGCAGGTGTGAATGCACACGCCAATGTAAATGTGCTCTCGCGCCTTTTTCGGAAATTGGTCGGGGATGTATGTTAGGGACGCTTCTTTTTTACGCGGCGATCAGCGCGATGACCCTTGCGGGCCGACGCTCTGTCTCTCTCGCCCCCTTACGGAGCGCCGCGGGAGTGCGAGAGAGACAGAGCGACGACACTGCCGTTCGGAACCAGCCCGCTCGCCGTAAAATGCGTCCATATTTCTCGGGCCCAAATGACGCGCCGTCGAGTGTCGCGCTGTCGCGGTCGTCAAATTCTATTGCACGGCGTTTCGGCGGGCGGGCGGGGCGGGGCGGGGCGGGGCGGGGCGGGGCGGGGCGGCGTGACTGGGCGACAGGGCGGCAGACGAGCGCGAACCCCCAAAGTGACCGCGCGACCACCGCGCGTCGGCCGCCTCACGCTCACAATGACTTAGGAACACAGCCGCACTCGCCATAAAGTACTGGCGTGGGCTTTCGGCTTCGACGTGCCGACGACGGGGGAGGGAGGGGAGGGGAGGGGAGGGGGCCTAATGAATGAAGTGTCACCTGGGACGCGCAGCGCCCCCTGGCGGGCACGGGCAGAACTAGCGCGAGTAGGCGACGGCGAGGGAAGTGCGGCGAGTGGCGGCCGTGTGGCGGGGCGTCCGGACTTAATGAACAAGCAAAACAAACAGCAGCAGCCTCGGCCAGCCTCGGCCTCGTTTCCGCACTTTTCTTTGGCTTTTGTTTGTTGGCAGAAGTCCCTCATTCCGAGCCTGCACTGCCCTCGACTGCCGTCCAGCCGGGGCAGCCTTAGCGGACCGCACTTCCAGCATGCGCGCTTCCAGTGCGCGCCAGCCGCGTCGCGCCAAACGCGGATTCAAAGTTGGCGGGCCTGGGCGACACGCCAGTGGCGGGCGCGGCGCGGCGCAAGTCAGCGCGAGCGTGTCGGGGCGGCAGCGCTGTGCGTCGCGAGGTGGGCGGCGCGCATGTGCCGCGAGGAGGTAGACCGCGGGCGCCGCGTCGCGCCTTCCCTTTCCCCACCTCCCCCTCTCCCCATCCCCTCCCCCTCTCCGCCGCATCTTCGTCTGATCCGCGCCGCCGCACCGCGACGCTGCGCCGCGCACCTCGGCTGTCACCGGGACGCGTCGCGTCCTCGGCGCACCGCCGCGCCGCCGCACCGCGTCTCGCCGCGGCAACATTTGAAACGGCGCGGGGCGGGCCGAACCAGCGGATCCCACCCAAGGGCCTTCCCTGTCGATTTAGGCGGCCAGGATGCGCCCCACTGGTCGCACTTCGTAGTCGACTGATGCGGTGCATCGCCGCTGTTCATCGCTCTGTCTCTCTTGCACCCCTATGGAACTCCACGTGAGATTGTAGTCCAGCCATCTCAAGTTCAAGTTGAAGGAGGCTGTAGCGCCTGCGAGGTAGGCCAGCGGCCGTCCCACAACACACTGGTGTCGAGACGGCGGCCTAGCTTGCCCCTTTGGAGAAGACAGGGGCGAGGTAGGCCACCGTCTCCACAGCGGTGTGTTGCGGGACGGCCGCTGGCCTACCTCGCAGGCGATTGCGATTGCGATTAATGGCTGGACCACAACTGATCGTCTGGCTTTCAGGCCCGCCCCGCCATGTCAGTGATTCACCAGCACGTGACGGGTCGTCCCTACTGAGAGTAGTGGCTTTATCGGTAGACCGGGTTCATACGCCCACAGAATTTGGGTATGTAGCAGGAGCAGCCGTTTGGCCGTTCACCCCTACACACCTTAGCCGAGTCTGACACTCCCCTTTGTTCACCCCGTTTCTAGGGCTGTGTTGAGCAGGTCTTCTAGTTGCTGCGCTAGTAGCACGTATTGCGATTATTTTGTCAGTCAAAAACTCTCACCAAAATTAGTGAAAATCGGGTCTGTCCCCTTCCGATCGTCGTCCAGCCCTGCCCCGCCCGGCGGCCCGGTCCGGCTCGTCCCGCCAGGCTTGTCGGCGTTACAGTGCTGCGTTACTGCGTTACACCTCTTCCAAATAAGGCTGTCGTCTGCTCGGCGAGGTTGCGCATGCGCAGTCCGGGCGGCCGTGCTCGCCGTGCTGCGGCAGGGGCCGTGCCGGGCAGGGCAGGACCGGGGTCCTCCGCTTGGTGGCTTGGCCCACGACGCTCGGCCAGGCTGGCGGGGCTGGTGGGGCTGGCGGGGCTGGCGGGGCTGGGGGGGCTGGCGGGGCTGGCGGGGCTGGTGGGGCTGGCGGGGCTGGCAGTCGCCGACATGGGCCGTGCGTACCGATTGGTTAGCGTCGCTTTTGGCAGCCTGCAGGCCGTGGACGCCATGGGCCTGCTGCCGTTCGGTGGTTTGATTGTCATGACGTTTTGGCAGCTGTGGGGTCTACTACGGGGAGCCGAAACGTCATTTATCTTCGTTATGAATCACTCTGATCATTCTGTAGGTCTATAGGCATATACATATGGACTGAAGAGTCTCGGTGAATTTCAAATGTCCAGTGTGAAAATCCATCCGAAAACCCACAGTAAAATTCGTAAAAATTCATAAAATTCCATATAAAAACACGTCGAAAAATCCCTGCGCGATTAGAGATCCCTTGAATTTCACTCTCGACAGAGGAAACGACCCAGACTGCTCGGCACCGTCGTCACACATAAACCTCTTAGCTAGACGATGGCGCCGGAGCGTCGCCCCTCGCAGACTACATTTGGCAGTGGCTTTCTATAGAGAGCGGGCCGCGTGGCCGCGCGGGGCTGGCAGTGACAGTGAGGCTGGCCGATCGGACGGCTGTCTCCCATCCTGGCGAGTGTAGCACCATCCGATCTCTTCCGGCGAAAACGTGCCGCCGTCGTAGCGCACGCCCCCGAAGAACGCTCGGCCGGACGGGTGGCCACCCTAGACTCAGCGCCCTGAAAGTGACCCTCCCTTCACTTGCCGCACGTCGTGCTGCAGGCTGCAGCGGCCCCAAGGCCCGCGCACATTGGCACACATTGACACACGTCCTGAAATGGCCGCTTCCAGTTTGCCAATGTGGTCGGTGCGGTGGTCAGTGCGGCCGGGCCGGCCGGGCCACGCGGAGACACGGTGGAGACACGGCGAAGACACGGCGCGGCGGCCTCGACCTGGAAGCGCACTCCGCCACAGGCAGGGCCTTCAGGACCACGCCGACGGGGCGCCCGCCGGCCGAACGGGATGCAGCCAGCCGTCGGCACCGGCCCGATTTGCGTAGATAACCCGGGAAGCGGGCGGAAGGGGGGCGGCGCTGCATTGCGCTGCACGCTGCACCGAAGCCAGACTAAACAAACGGGCCAGTATGTGGTCCACTGTGTCCATACAAGGCAGGCCCGCCGAGCCGCGCCAGGCCCTGTTGCATCGCCGTCGCCTCGGTCGCCGCCATGGTGCCATCCCATCCCCCGGCTCCACGGCCTGCGTCGCGGCCAAGGACGCCACGCTACGCCACGGGGCAGGTCGCCAAGACACCCCTCATCGACGACGTCCTCTCGATGGCACGGACGGCCAGGCCTCGGAGCGCGTGCGTCGCGTGCGTGACTGTACTCACAACTGGAGCTCTCTTTTTCTGTAAGGCGCTGCTTTTATCCCTCGGTCACGCGCGCGCCGGTGCGGCATTGTATGCGTAATGTGGCGCTTGTGCTGCCTGCACCCCGCGGGGTGGCGGTGCGTGGCGGCAGCCCGGGCGCCGGTCAGCCAGCGGGCAGCCAGTCAGCCAGCCCAGCAGCCAGCCCAGCAGCCAGCCACGGCGCTCCAATTTTCCGGAGGGCGGCGCCCTGCACTGTACGACCCGAACAAGCGGCGGGCAGCGGAGGAAAGCATGACGGGGGGCTCCTTTGTGTGCTCCGTGACCTCGGCGACGTAACGCCTTGGCTCGCGGCCCTCTTCGCGCGTCACGTGATCTGTCCGAAGCTCCGGGGTAGAGGCCGTCGAGAGTGGATCACCGCTTGGGACTACCGGTTGGCAGCGACCACGACGGTGGGGTGGGACTCCCGTTGGACTTGGCAGTACTTGTCACGTTAAACGCGACCAATTCTATCCGGTCTTCTTTCCCAGCAAACGCCCACACACCTGCCGCGCCGCCCCAGGACGGCTGGAGCATAGCGGGGCGGCGCGGGACGGACGGACATCGGCCCCCTCCACTCTCTCTCTCTCTCTCACACTCACAAACACACACACGGGCGGATCTGCAAGCGCGGCAGGGAAGGCCGGGGACTCCAGCCGGCTTGGGGAAGAGGGGAGGGGGCAGGCTAGCCACGGGGGGAGCTCGCGCGGTCCGCCGAGCCGGCGTCGAGTCCTTCAGCCTTCAGTCCCCGATCAGCTTCGCCAGAACGCATAGCAAAAGCAGGCCGCTCCCCCAGCAGCACAAGGAACGCCTGGACAAGGCTTGCACCGCGCACCGGCACCGGCCCGGCCCTCGGGCCCAACCTGGCACCCTCCTCCGACCCTCCCAGTGACCAAAACCGCCATTTCCGTGAAACTCGTTCCGGGGAGCCACCGCCCCCGCTCGCCGGCGTTCCGCGTGTCTGCCACCGAAGCCATACCACCCCAGTGAGCGGCCACCCACGCACTGCACCACCCGGACGGCGCGGCCCTAGGCCGGCCTGCAATCATCGAACTCGAACCCCTCGACCTCTGGAACCTGGAACCCAGAGGAGTTGGCAGCACTGCCGAACAAAGTGACATTCGACTGAGGATCCGACGCCCGGAGCACCACCGCCACCCCGTCCCAGGAAGTTGCCAACCCGCGCCAGCAAAAGGGGTGAGTCAGTGAGTGTCGCCTCAGGCGGACTGCGTCGCTGAAGTTTAGTTTGCCGCACGTTTACTTGCGTCGTGACTGAACAAAAGCGACGCATTTTGATCCCGACGGGACCGGGCCATGGGTCAGACGTCGGCAACAAGCCGTCCCTTGAACTGACAGTCAGTGGCACACAACAGTGTAGTCGCATGTGCAGCCCGCGCAAGATACGCTCTTTTGTGTCCACAGCGAGAGCGGACAAATGACCCGCACTCGTTTGTCGCGCCGTTTACGCGTGTCCTGGCGGACTGGTCCCGCACAGCGCATTCGTATAGCTCTGTCTCTCTCGCACCCTCGGCCCGTCCCGCAGGGCAGCGAGAGAGACAGGGCGGCCCGCTGATTGCGCGGCTGGTATTGGTATTGGAGAGGGACCAGTCGGAGCGACATGGAGCGGTGCGCCCCGCGAGCACGCCGACGGGGACGACGGGGCCGACAGCGACAGGCTGACAGTTCACACCCATATACGGTGACCTGCAGCACTGCCGCCACGCCACTGCCGCGCCGGACCGGGCCAAGAGCGGCCAGCAGCGGCCAGCAGTGGAGTGGGGGCACGCCGATCGCCAGTCGAACAGCAATTAATAGACGCAACTCGGGGCGTAATAAGTTTTTGACAAGTCGAAAAATCACGCTGCGGACTCAACGTTAAAGGTCTGCTGAGGGCTGAACAGCGCTGCTGATGATGATGGAGGTGGTGCATCCGCTGTGGGTAGCAGGTCTCCCGAGCTCCCGCCGCCTGGCTCTCTGAATGGCTCGGCTGCCTACTGCGGCCCACTGACTTTCCTCCGCGGAGTGAGTCAGGGCGCTCATTGAATTTGGCGTGCATTTCCGCGCGGCTCCGCGTCTCGGCGTCTTGCCGGTGGGGCGGGGGACGCGGCGGGGACGCGGCGGGGACGGCGGCAAACCTCGCAGGTGGGCGTCGAGCACGGCCAGCACGGCGTGGCCCCAGCCGAGCCACGCATCCACCACGCCGAGGAGCGGAAAGTGTCTCCCGCAGACTTCCTTTCCGCGCCCACGTTCTCGATCAACTTCTAAACAAAAAGCAGAGCCGAAAATATTTGCGAAAAAACTGGCACCGTGTGAGGAGTATCGACCCCCCTGGCGTGCGATCGTAGAATCGGTGCTGCAGCGCCCACGGCTGTGGAGTATCGGGACGTGTCACCGTGCTCCTGTCGTTCATTGGTGCTCCTACGTGTCTCTCGGCGTGGTCCAGCCAGAACGCGCAGCGCGCGGCAAACTTGCGTAACCAATTTACTGGATGGAGAGGCGCTTGTCGGCGTGGCGGCTGTCCGACGGCTCCTTACTCACTTAGCATCGCGACGTGACGGGCCGCATCTCCACCGCCCAATTCTTGCAGTCCAGCCAGTCAGCGAGTCCAGCGGGGCAAAGGCCGGCGGACTCGGAGTGCCGGCCGGCTGGCCAAAAGCAACAGCAACAACGACGGTGACGACAATGATGACGACAACATAAAGAGAAGGTTAAAATCCTGCTCTATATTTGGCTTTCTCATACGATACGCGTCTAAACGGTTTCGCAGAGTACTCGAAGGGAAGGGCAGCGGCCAACAGGTGGGACGCGCTACAGCTCTGCTGCCGTGGCTACGCTGGAGCACGCAGCGCTCGCAACGCCTGTCTCTCTCGCACCCAGGCGAGATGTCCCTAATGAGCGAGAAAGACAGAGCGAAGAGGCGCTGCTGCCGGCCGATCCACTCGCCATAAATCGCGCATTTCTGGTGGAGTCGCACTGTGCACTCCGGGCGCGGTGGTTCTCCACGCGCCTCGGCGGCGGCTCGCCACGGCCCGGCCGCGCCTCGCCGACAATCCGACAATTAGCTGTGATTGGCTTCGCGTCAGGACCCTCGACACACTTCAGACCGATTCCGAGCAGTCGTCGCTTCGCTCTGTCTCTCTCGCGCTCATTGGGCGGTCCGAACAGGAGCGAGAGAGACGACAGCACTGCGATGCGAAGGCCCCGCGGACATCGGCCGCCACCTCCCGCACCGCTGGAGTCCCCGGCCACGCACCGCCTTACATAGCCTGGCGACGTTCGGCCGCCCGTCGCACCCTCAAATTACGCGCGTCCCTCATCATCTCATCTCTCTTGGACTCGTGGGGCTTCCCGTCCGCGCCAGAGAGAGACAGAGAGAGACAGAGCGACGGAGCACTGTTCGGAGTCAGCCTGCAGGTCGAGTAGTCGGCGCCATACTGGACGGGGTCTACTTACTGGAGAGCGGCACAGCGGCACCGCCTGCCGCCTGTCGCTCTGTCTTTCTCGCACTCGTGGGACGTTTCGGAGGGGTGCGAGGGGGACAGAGCGAGGAAAACATCCTTTCGGAGTGAGGCGGGTAGACGAAACAGGTGCGGGCCGGCGGGGAGGCCGCCGTTATCGTCGCAAAACAAACCAATCACCCCGCGGTCCTCGACGGCCTGGCCACGGCCTGCCACGGCCTGCTCCTCGGCCTGCACGGCGTGCTCGCCGCGTGACGCACCGCACACCTCGTCGCGCCTCCTCGCCCACGGCCTACCACCGCAGAGGCCCGGCCGGCTGCGGGAGGGATGTCCCATCTGGACCACGGCAGCACGGCAGTACACGGCGGGGACATGAACCTCCAGAGCACGACTCCGACGGCAAGGCGCCGTGCCGCCATCGCCGTGCCGCCATCGCCGTGCCGCCCCCGCGCCGCGCACGGGTGCGACATGTCTGCGAAAACCGCGAAAACGCGCGGCCGGTCGCCGCCCCGCCGCCCCGCCGACACCGAGAAGGATGAGGAGCATGACTTACCGGCCGGCGCGCTGGCGTACGACCCGCCTCCACCAAAACACGCCCCGCGCCCTCTAAATCGATCACCGAGCGCAATCTTGATTCATCTTGTGTTTGTGTGCGCGGCCGCGGCAGCAGGCTGATTCCGGACGGCGCTTTGTCGCTCTGTCTCTCTCACTCTATGGGGCTCCGTAGGGGGTGCGAGAGAGACAGGGCGTGATGGAGCACTGTTGTTCGGAATCAGCCCGCTGGCCGCGTGGCGCAGAAATCAGACTCGAAACGAGTACGGGGCACGACGACTTGGCACCGGCACACACGCGCGCACAATACACGCACACACATACTTAAACAGACACGCACACACCGACGCGCCGTCTCGGGGATCGTGTGCATGGCTACCGCACGACTAACGAACGTGCTGCCCATTCGTGGATGATTGCCTGTACGACGGTCGTTAAATCAATTACACACACCACCACTCGCGCCGAGCCCCCGTCGCCCCCCGCGAGACCATCGCGAGGCACGCCTTCTGTTGGTACCTGCTGCGCCCATATTTCTCATAACCATCGGGGGCATAAGTCGATCACTCTGTCTTCACCGGGACCGGATCCGGGGGGATCAGTTACCTGTCAGTCCGCCTGAGCTTTACTTGCATATTATACACTGGCGAAAAAATAACTGATGCATTTAAAGCACGTTGGTGGCCGAGTGCGGACAGGCGTCCGTATACGACGCCCGGATCGGGCGATCGAATCCCTACGTCGACACGTTTTTACTGGCTCAGGCTCATATACCATTGCGGGTTGTACCCATGGCTTCAATCACTTCTTTGACACCTACTGGGAAAGGTGGGAAAGGCAGGACTCCTCCACATCACAGATGAGGTACCACTGCGGTTGTTGTAACTCCGGTTGCTCCAGTGGTGAGTTGTGGAAACTGTCTGGTGAGTACCACTCCCGCAGGGAAGAGGGCCGGTTCGTCGGGGTGCCCTCTTTCGCTGAAATTTTCTTCGTCGATTTTTTCCTGGTACTCTATTTTTTGCGTCTAAATGATAAGTCTTGTCTAGCTTCGACTCCATTAGCTGGGGCACATTTAGAATACGCCCCCTTCTTTCTGTTTCGTGGTTTCTGTCTGCCCGCGGGCCGGGTTGACCGGCTGGCCTCTGATTTGCCGTCGCCGGCGTCGTTTCCGAGTCTCCGCAGTGTCCTCAATGTCAAGGCCCGTCCGCCCCCACGCCGCTTCGCCCCACCCCGCCCCGCCCCGCCCCGTCCCGCCTCGCCCCGCCCCGGCCGCCCCGGCCCGCCTCCACCTACGCGTCGCGAAGCGCTCGCCGCCGCCGTCGGCGCCGCACGGCTCTGCTCTCTGCGCGGTTCGGGTTCGTCCGCCGTGGCCCCGCTGCTCCCGACCGCGACCCGCCCTCCTTCCGTCACGAAAATCCCCTCGCCGATTTTACGGCCTCCCGATTCGGGGAGAGAGGGCTGGGCATCCGCCACGGCATCCGCCACCCGGCACGCGTCGACACTGTACTGTATCACTCCGCCAGGCCGCCGCGCCGCCATCCGTCCCATTCGTCTTCGCGCAGTAAATGAGCGCGTTACTTTTTAACGCGGCGGCCCGAAACAGGCCGCCAGTCGTTTTGGCCTAATGGACGCGCCGCGGTCACCGCTACCTCGGCGACGTCGCGGTCCTCCTCAACGGGGAGGTGGGAGCCGCCGCCGGCCGCGATCCTCATCCTGCGGCGCCGCGCCCCGCCCCGCTCCGCCTACCTGTCGCTTCCCGGTCCATGGTCGCTGACCGCTGGACTTGGAGGACCCCCTCGGCGCGGTGCTGCGGCGGCTGGCGGCGCCCCCACGCGGCCCGGTCGCCACCCGGCCAAGCCGGCCCCGCACTCCAGTCCCCGACGCCAGACTCCAGACTCCAGGCGAGTGCATGCACTGGAATCTCCGCACCGGTCGGGGGCGTCCTTAACCTTGCCGACTCTTGGAAACGGAACTTGCTGGACAGTCATGCTCCGCCAGAGTGCGTGCGCGCGGCCCACGCACGGACCGCCAGCAAGTGGCACGAAAACCGCCGGCGCGGGTTCGAACCCCGGCGGGGGCAGACTGCTCAACAATGGAATGGCGCTATTATTGAGCTGCATGCGCCTGCACTGCACGATTCACTATGAACAGCGCTTCGTCGCTCTCTCTCTCTCGCACCCCTTTTGA